AGGGCCTTCAGTTGCAGTCACTCCTGAACTTCCCCCTGGCCGAATCTCCTTGGCATCAGGCAGGGACTCATTTCAGTTTCAGGACTTGCACACTGTAGATATTTGGGACTATTTTGGCTGCCATCTCATGTCTGTGAACAGAAACTGGAAGATGGGTGCCAATATTTATTCTTAAAGTCCATTTGGGGCATGGTTTAATTGGCATAAAAATTGCATTACTGATTTTCAAACTTAAGGAGCCCTCGGAACTGTGCCCCACTTCCATCACTCTAGATAACTGTGACAACCCAGTTACACATCTCCCTCCCTCCAGTCAACCTGCCCAGGGCTCTCCACTTGAATTTGATTTCATGATTCCTACTTTACCTACCATCTCAAGAATAAGCACTTTGTGGTTTCACTGGACAGTCCCATCTTTGATTTTCCATTTCACATGCCCATCCTGAAGGAGGACATCACTCTTGTCCCTCTTGTTCTAATGTGAAGCCCAGATTCTGTATACTTTTTGATCTACCTTTCACTCAGTCTTATCTCTTAAATCTTAAGCAAAGAGCCCACTTCTTGCCATCCTGCAGCCACTCAAGATTCCCCTGGATTAATCCAACAGCCTGGATGATAGCCCCTCTAAGTTGCTTTGACCTCCTCTCCTCATTTTTCCACACTGGAGCCAAAATGTTTTCTGAAATACAAATCTCAGGTGGACACTCCTACTTTGAAAACCCTCTGGTGGTTTTTAGTTGTCTCTTGATGAAAGTACCCAAACTCCGTAAAGGGACTTGTCAGTCCTGAACTCCCTAAACGCCTCCCCCTGGCTTCCTTGTTTTCTGTGTGTCCCAGGAGGACAGGTGTCCTGTCTTGTTCAGCCAGAACCTGGTGCATGGCAATGGTTGTTGGTGTTAGTTTGGCAGTGTCAGAGGAGTGGCATGTATACTCTATTACTTTGTTACAGTGGGTAAGTAGGCTAACTGAATTTTTTTTCTGGAGTTTGGACTGTAATTTTCGTGTATTAAGTTATTATAGAGGGATATGACTGCTGCTTTACTTTTGGGGGGCACATTTTTGGGTGTAAGTGGATTTATTTGGTAGCACTCTCTGGGTCAGAATTGGAACATCTGTTTGAAATACTGCTCCCATGGAGAGAGAAACTTGGCCACAGTTTTTTGTAGATTTAGTGTCTAGAAGGTTGGTACTTGAAAAGCACAGCCTGTACTTTCATCATACTGTTTAAAGGCAAGTTTTGTTATTTTCTCACCCTCATTGGTCTCACTCCTACCCCCGCATTTTTTGGAAGGGAAACCCAAGATGCAGCAATTAATCGATGGCTGCCCAGGGCCTCTTAGCCTGGGTAGAGTCTCCTGTGAAAACCTAAGCCTTCGAGCTTGAGGTCAGGGTTTTTTCTTTCCTGTACCCATAAATGCTGTTCTTGCTGTTTACATACTTCCCAGACATTGATAATTTGTGCCAGGCCAGTCCAGCCCCAGCCTTGCTCTTGTGTTTTCATGGCTGTCTGTTTTCAACTTGGAGCCAAACTGATACAAGTGCAGTTCCTGTGACACAACCTCATTCTCTGTGACCTAGCTAGGTCCTCAATGTTGAATTCTTGACATCTCAGAGGCTCAGTGTTCTTATCTGTGGAGTAGTCATTGCTACAGCGCCTACCCTGCAGGGTTGCAGTGAAGATTAAATGAGAAAGCATATTAAATCCCTTGACATGGTAGGAGTATCATAACTGTTAACGGCTGCCTCTACTGGCTGCCTCTTCTTATTTTGAAATTTGCCACTTGCTAGTTGTGTGATATTGGGTGAGTTATTAGCCTTTCTGGGCCATAGTTTGCTGTTTGTAGAACAATGTTTTGTTTTGTTTTTTTGAGTTGGAGTCTCAGTCTGTCACCCAGGCTGGAGTGCCGTGGTACACTCACAGCCCCTCCAGCATCAACCCGTTGGGCTCCAGGGATCCCCGGCAAATTTTTTATCAATTGTAGAGACAAGGTCTCGCCAAGTTGCCCGGGCTGGTCTTGAACCTGCAGACTCAGGCAATCCACTTGCCTCAGCCTCCCAAAGTGCTGGGTTTACATGCTGAGCCACTAAGCCCTGCCTGTAGAACAACATTAATGCAAATACCTAGCCCCATAATATTGCTTTGAGGATTGCATGAAATAGTCCATATAGAGGAATGTGACGGTGGTACCGAGCCATAGTAAGTGTGCTCAGGTAAGTTCTACTGCTGCTGTTACTAATTTATTTTAAAAGTGGACTCAGGAAGGAGCCCAGGATCCTATATTGTACTCAGGTGTATATTTTCTGAAAAAATAATTTTAAGTAATTTTTCCTATCTGGGCATAGTCACTACAGATTTTTTTTAAAGCATAAAAAATTAAAATTTGTAATTCTATGCAAATGTCAATATTTTTGTGGCTATCCTAATATTTTCTATATACTATAAATTGATGCATTTATTTCTCCCCCTCACCCACAATTTTGGATTATTTGTATTTTTATAAACATAGCTGGAGTGATTGCATACTTCCGTAGCTTGAGCTAGACACTAGTTTTTCATTCATGCTTCTGACTTGTGTAGTTATGCTAAGTCAGAGACCCCAGGACTTAGGAGAGGTCCCTACACACCAAGCACCCCAAGCTGCTACAGTTATCTTGTCTCAGGGATGTGAAAGGGCACACCTAGTCCTTGTCTGTATATGCATGGTGACAACGTGTACCTGACAGTATAATGCTAGAAAGACCATTGGCCCAGATATACATTTTATTGTGTTCAATTGTTAAAGTTTTTAAAACTTTTTAAAAATTGGTTTTACAGAAGGGCAATGCAAGGGCTCCTTGTGGTGATGAATACAAGAACCCACATAGGTGATGAAATTACACAGAGCTTATGACACACATGTGCAGACCTCACACACAAGTGAGCACAAGTAAAACTGGGGAAACCTGAGAAAGACTTATGGATTGTGCCAATGCTGATACCCTGGTTGTAATCATGTGTCTTAATTTTGCAGAATGTTACTTATCATTGAGGAGGACTGGATAAAGGGTATATGGGGGTCCCTCTATGTTATTCTTGTGGTCGCATGTGGTTTATCTACACATGACTAAGAATATTAATAACTACAATTATCTCAATTCAAAAAATTAACTTTAAAAATTTAAGTACAGTCTCTTATTAATATAATGTTAGAGAAATAGCAGCTTTGAATATTTTATGTTGTAGGGAGACAAGGAGCCAGGTTAGTTAAAATGTAGCCTGGTTTTTTTGTTTTCCAAGAAAGCAGAGGACTCAGTCCTCTGAGGAGAGCAGATTGTCATTAGCAGGCCTTTAAGTCACAACACAAGGTTAAACACAGAGGCCACTTAATCGCAGTGGTCTGTTTCCTGGTGAATAAAGGGTAGGATGTGGATGCTTTCTAGTGGGTGCTGTTTGGAGGACTCCGGGATCTTTATCTGCTCTTTTGCAGAACATCACTGCCGTGCAGGGGGAAGACTAACTCCTGTCGATGGTATAGGAGTCTTCACGTAAGGGCTTGTGACTTCAAGCTGATGAATTATCTAGAGCAATTTGAGCTGAACTTCATCTACATCAATTCGATTCTGGCTTAAACCCTCCCTTATAAATCTCCCTTGCCTTTCCCTCTCTGGCAGCTCTGTCTGAGGCAGCACGAGGGATCTTGCACGCAAGTGCTGGGTGGAAGGGTCCTGGCTGTGATGGTGCTTTGTTGGTAGGGTTTCAGATTTAGAACCAGATTTCAGGTTGCCTCCTTAAGCTAGAAAATCATTCCAACAGATCTAGTTTCTCTGAGCTCATTCACTAGGATGGTCTCTATTTGCATTTAATGAAATATTTAGAGACCTATTGAATTCCAGTTGTAGTTTGCTATTAGTAATGATACTGAGTTTGACTTAGTAATACACTTCAATTCTCAAATGCCTTGCATGAGTTGTTACTGAATGTGGGTCATTACAAACGCTTCAACTCTTAACGGAATTATTCTCTAGAGTCTTAGTTACAAAGCATTACCAAGAAGTTATTATTTAGCCCCAAAGTGACAGGTGTCAAAAAATTTTGCACTTTGGCCCTGCATCCATTTATATTCACTTCTCTCACAGAATAAAACTCATGCTACCTACTTGGTGTTTGTTGAACTGCAAATCATTTCCTTGCCATTGATTTAAAATAAAACAACCCTGAGGTTTTTTGTTTTGTTTTTGCATACTAAAGCCTTCTTTTGTTGCACAGCCCTTTTCTCCAACGGAAGGAGAACAAAGACCCACAGTCCTAAAGTGACTTGTGTGCACCACAGTAAACTGTGCATGTAATGAAGTAGTACCGTGTGTGTGTGTGTGTGTGTGTGTGTGTGTGTGTGTGTGTGTGTGTGTGTGTGTGTATAGCAGCAGCAGCAGTAGAGTCTTTTCGGTGTCGATTTAAAAAATGTATCACCCTAGTTTTTATGGTATGGAAACCAGTTGATTAGCTTTAGAATTTATGCCATTTGGGGAGGAAGGGTATTTGTTAAATAATTATACCAATAGTTGCTTTCTGAAGGATTCCACTCTGTCCATGTGATTGGGTCTATATGGATAGTGAGGTCTAGATCCTGCAGGCCTTTCTTTCTGATAATTCACTTATGGATGACTATGTTGCTGACCCCTCCTCTCCCACTTCAGTCTGTTGAGTTTACATGAGGCCAGAACCCTTTCCAACTTCATCACCTCGCCCTCACCACTATCTTTAAATATGCACATGCTCACACAATGTCAAGGCTTCACAGGGATTAGAAGTCATGCTCCATTCCCCAAAACTCATCTTCCGGTCACTGGAGCTGGAAAATGAAATCTAGGAGTGTTGAGTACAGTGTGGGTTGAGCCTGGCAAAGCCAATGCCTCTTTGTGCCTAATGTGCAGGCACAATGCTAGGGCCGCTGTTTTCAGTGGGTCATTTGTTTGACAGGTTTGCGACCTTGGTGGTCTCATGTCACTTTTCTTTTTTACAGTTTTATGTGCTGAAAGAGTTGGCCAGATGACTAAGACATATAATGACATAGATGCTGTTACTCGGCTTCTTGAGGAGGTAAGTGTTTTGGGGGAACACAAAAATAAGTGTTGATCATTGATTTTACTTTATTGGATTGCCTATTTCAGTGAGGAATCTTGACAATTGGGCCCTCTCAGGGTATAATTTAATGGCTTTATTTTTTAAACTAGTAGCTGTGTACGCCTTTGTAGCTGTAATTTTGTGTGGATATTTTAGATTTTTGAAGAAATGTATTAATGACACAAAATATGGTGACATTTAAATGCTTGCTAGAATACCCAATTTAAGATGTTTTGTAAAATCCTAAAATATATACTAACAATGTATTTTAAATGCACCCAAAAGTGTCAGAAAAAATGTATCATTATCCATGTCTTTCTAATGTATTTTAAGTTTTTACTTATGTCAGGTTAGTGGAAAGTTATGCAGTATCTACACTGAAATAAGCAGAATAAGCATGGCAAGAAAAATTCAGGAAAATTGTTTAGGATCAGGTGAGCTGCTTATATTCTAGAGACTATGGTTTTCCCAGTTTCCTCTCAGCATTCTGTTGGCAGTTGAGAATTACGGTGCTACAAAGGCCTCTAGAAACATGAGTATAGTATGTATACCTGCATGCCTAAAACAGGCCAAAACAGGGCAGGTTTTTAGTATTTGTTGAGTAATAGCTCATCCTTATATACTACCCCTGCCACCGAATCAGGCCTTAAATAACAGGTGCTGACTTTGAGACTTTGGTCTGCTCTAGACTCTAGAGTGACTTTGGGTCATGTGACTATTCATTAGCACCTTCCCCAGCAAGAGAGTGGAATGATGTGGGAGACACAGAAATCATTATTACCATTTTCAGCCAGTAGGAGGACAGGGTTAAACACAGACAGGACCTGGGAGCAATGGGAGCTAGAATTTTAGCGACAGGTGGGGGTGTGGGGGGTGGGCATTCTTTCACTATTCTTACATCTCTCTGTTCTGGTGTTTCTCTCTCTGCACATCCAGCATTCTGATACCTGTCCTGCAGTCCACTTCTGTCTGATCTCCTGAAGGGAAAGCCACAAACTCCTCAGCCCCACAGAAGTGACATCAGGGTGTTTGACTGTGTGACAGGATGTCAGGGGAGGTGTTTGGGGGCACAGGCCTTCTGCCTTCGGGTGGCACTCCAGTTTCACGCATCTTGGCAGCATTGGCCATGTGGCAGGCTTGCTTGCTTGGTACCACTGATTTTTGAAAATGGCTTATTGCTAACCCCTTCCTGCTGCATCCATTTCTCCAAACAATTCCACTATTCTCCAGATCTTACAAAGTGCTTCCTCCATCTGCTCCTCATCTCATATCCAGGAGTCAAGTCTTCTGAGATAGATCCTACATCCATTCATTTGTACCTTTGTTTTTATTCCAAAGCCACCATGCAAGCTCCTGGAGCCTCACTGGTGAGATTTTAGTTTCTCTCTGCTCTAATCTTCCTTGAAGCGGCCACTGTTCCAAGTCCTTTGTGATCACTTGGCCCCTTTCCCTGAAGCTCTAAGCTCCTTGGAGTGGCATTCAAGGCCACCCACTTGCATATAGTCCTGAATCCTTTTATTTGCTACTGTCACTGGGAACCTGGCTCCTGCTTTCCCACCCATGGCCCTGTGTTCCATTTGCCTCAGTCCGTTCCTGCTTCTCAGTCTCCTGCTGAAGGACCTTCTAGGGACCTTTGAAGCTGGCCCTGACCCCAGGTGGTCTGTGCCCCCTGCTGAGCCCTGAGTGCAGGAGTCCCCTTCAGTCCCATTTGTTTTGTTCATCTAGCTGGATCAGTTAGAAGCTTTTCCAAGGCAAGGATGATTTCTATTGGATGATTTCTTTTTCTTCTATTAACCTTAGAAATAATAGACCTTTGCTAAATGTCTACCTCTATTGTCATGCTTATTACTAGGGGTAAAATTTCACTGAGAGCTAAGTGTTGTCCACAAGTCATCTCATTGATTCTACAATAGCTTTCAGAAATAGAGACCACTGTTACCCCATTTTACAGTGGAGGGATCCAAAGGAATGGAAGATACCCATGATTATTTGGCAGGCCCTTATCCACTGGCATGGGACTCTTGCTTTTGGTTGCCAGGTTTACTGCCCTACTTAGTTTTTGTTAATATGGCTAGTTGCTTGTCAGTGGGACGTTTTTACTTTCAAAACATGAACTGGCTAATGTTTAAGGGGTACTGCCTCTGTGCGTATGCACTGCCTGCAGCTCTTGGTTGTGGTTGCATCTGAGCTGGCAGTGCTGGGTGATGCCTCCACAGGACAAGACCCTTCTCTCTGCTTACCTGTGCAAGGACCACTTCCAAAGGAGTCAAGGGCTAGAGCCCTTTATGCAGATGCTGGGCACCAAGAATTCACTTTTTCCCACAGTGAATTTCCTAAATGAATATTGCTGTTTAAAGAGTAGAATCTCATCTTTTTAAAAAATTGAGTTGCTGGAAAGTATATTGGTGAGGTGGTTTTTTCACGTGGTTCTTTGTTATGCCTTGTTTATCTTATTTTTAAAAGGTCATCATGATAATGTTCTGTTTGTATCTCTGTGTTCCATATATAATGCCATTCTATTCCTTATCCTGATAAGAGTCACACCTGAGTTACTGTGTTTCTTCAGAACTAGGCAGGTTTCCAGGTTAAAGTCTAACTGCCCCAGTAATGTGACAGTTGCATTGTACTGTGCTTTTCGTAGACTTGGCTCTCTGTCCTCTGTGCGTGCACTTTGGTTTGCATGTCTGCCACTCACAGGTGGGTGCAGGAAGTCAAAGCACTGCCCTTGGCTGCTGTGGAAAGCGTGCTTCTGGCTTTTGTTCATAGTATATCTTTGCACAAAGCTTGCCTTCTCCCCAGTTATGAAGAGGGTGATTCTGCTGGCCTCTTAGTCATGCTTTTTATCCTGAAATTGGTGAATGAGATGAATCAGCTGCTAAGTGTGGGAGGCAGACTGTTTCGAGTCTCTAGTGGGTGTGTCAGTTGGCTCAAGTATTTGTTGGCAAAAAAATCTCGGAGACTCAAGTCACAGTCTCTCTAGGCAAAGCGTAGTGAGAAGAGGGAGCAGGCAGAATGAGGTCCACCTTGCCTTGTTTCCTGGGGATTAAAAAACACGCTCTTGTAATAGTTTGTTTTCAGGGGTCTACATTACTTATTTGTAGACTCTTGTTCTCATTGTAGTTCAATGGTCATTTCCTAGCTATTTTCTTTTTTTTTTAGAAGTAAACATCTGTCATATGTTGACTGGCTATAAGAAATAGGAGGTTTTTTTTCATACTTGTAATTCTCAAAGAGAAACCCAGCCAGCATGTTGCCTTAGTAAAATTAGACAGAAAAAAACTAGAGCTACCACAATAACATTTTTATTTAGTTTTTCATTTCATCGATAAATATTTCTACTATAATTTTTTGCTTTTTTCTGGCAGAGAGCATTCTTTATAATTACTCTAAAAATGAGATTTCTGGTGTAGACCAGGGGAATACTCACCCCCAGAGGGCTGGGGAGAGGGGAGGTGGCCCTGGGGTCCTGGACTAGGGGTTGAGGTGTGATAGATAAGGGCAGAGGACTTCATTGTTGAGCTCACTACTCCACTTGTTTCTCTTTCACTGCCTATCTCCCATTCCTCTTGGTTTCTGGCCCTCCATGTGCTGGAACATTCCATATCTTGGCGGTGTCTTTCTGGATCCATCTTCATTACTATATTTTTTGCTTGATTTGTTTGCATTGAAATGTGCATATACAATGTGACTAAGGCATGCAAAATGTCTGTGCTTGTTGGATCTTAGCTGGTTGGATGCACGAAGGCAGTGCATAATAGGTAGTCAGGTAGTAAGTTGATAAGCATTAATTAAGCACTTGCTGGGTGTTCAGTGTGAGAACTTATTCTAAAAGAGAAATTTAGTAGACTTGAGTTAGATTTATGGAGACCATACTTGCAAAGAGAAGTGGACATTGGTATTGCAGTTTTAACCAAGTCTAGCTGAAAACACTTGGACGAGGTGCTAATTTTGAGTTGGCCTCTGGAGACTCCAGCTCTGTACAGCCTCCCTCATGCAGCTCTTTGAATCCTTTCCTCTAGATACCTAATATGTACAACTGCTGAGTCTGAGAAGTGACACAGAGCTATGAGATAGGGACCCTTCTTGGTAGACATACTGTGGCCACAGTGGCTAAATGCACAGGGATGGGCATCTTGGCTGATTGGGCAGAGACACTGCATCCCCTTACGTAGGAGAGCCCTCTCTACATGCTCCACGTTTCTAGGAGACGAGGGCACATTGTGGGAATGAGTTGGGATATTTATGGTTCATTTGAGGCAGTACTTGACTGGTTTCTGGGACTGTGGTGACAACATTACAGGGTTGGGGAATTTGGAACACCTAGGAGAGAGACCTTATTCTGCAAGAGGGAGCCAAATTGCTGTTGAATCCAAAGTCTTCTCAAACTATACTTGGATTTCAAGTGCTGTTCTTGTAATTCAGTGGAATTCCTATGGTTGGCACAGGGAGGGTGCTGCTGTTGCACAGAATAACCAAAGCTCCTTATTCTTTTCATTGTAAAACTTAATGATTAATGAAGCTGGAAGAGGTTTTCAAGGATTCGTCAGTTAGCCTGCCCCTCCACCCAACCCCAACTTAACAGATGGGGGAACTGACATTCAAACAGAACCCAAACTGTGCCACTATAGAGTGGGATCGTTCACCTGGAGCAGATAGACTTGTGCCTGAATCTGCTGTAAGAAGCTCATCTTAGCTTGAGACCCAGTACTCACATAGGTACATACATGACAAAAGTTTAAATGTGAAGCGATACCTTTATTATGTGGAATGCACTGTGGTGTTTTTGATTCTGTGCTGTTGGATTTAATTTAAAGCAACATGCTAGTTGCCAATACTAAAATGGTTTCTCAACCCACTAATGGATTTGACACCTATGGTTTGGAAAATCTAATCTATAGTGTACCTCATCCTTGTGAAACCAAGGCCATTTGCCTAGGGCCACGTGGGTAGTTAATAGCTGATGTCAGATCAGAACCTAGGATTCCTCTCCAGCTTTTTTCCTACATAAACTATGTTTCCATTTTTTATTTTAAACCATGTGAACAGAGTAATTATCACAGACTTTTAAAATGACTTAGTTGTGGTAGCACGTGCCTGTAGTTCCAGCTACTTGGAAGGCTGAGGCAGAAGGATGGCCGGAGCCCAGCAGGTCGAGGCTGCGGTGGCCGGGAGCGGCCACTGCACTCCAGTCTGGGCGACAGAGTGAGACTCCAACTCAAAAATAAAATAAAATAAAATAAAATAAAATAAAATGACTTAGTTTTTTAGGCTTTTTCTCTCCTTGCCAAGTCCCACAAATTGAGCAAGTCAAATCTAGCCATAGGGGTGAATGGATAAGTCTGCTTTTGGTGATGGCGTCTGTCCACTATTAGGGGACATCTTTCTTCCCACACAGGCAGCCATGCCTTTATATGCCAGTAAGCATTTTCCTCTGTGTACTGCTCTAATTCAGGTCATCAGCTGAACTAAACAGAAAATTCTGTGTCCTTAACAATGTCTTTGCCTCTGAAGTATGACAGTTTTATGCATTATACTTCCATTTTGAAAGTTGGTTCTTTTAAATGAAGCCCAAGTAGCCTTTTCTAACAAAAAAGAATTTAGTTGTTTTTCTTAGTAACTTTAAACATCTTTGTTTCATACGAGGCAAAAATAAGGAACTCAGCTGTGCAAAGTGGCTCACATCTGTAATCCCAACATTTTGGAGGGTGTAGGTGAGAGGATTGCCTGAGTCCAGGACTTCGAGACCAGTCTGGGCAACTTAATGAGACCTCGTCTCTACAATAAATCCAAAAATTAGCTAGATGTGGTGATGCACACCTGTAGTTCCAGCAACTTGGAAGGTTGAGGCGGAAGGAATGTCTGAGCCCAGAAGGTCAAGGCTGCAGTGGCCATGAGCATCCCACGGTACTCCAGCCTGAGTGACAGTGAGACTCCAACTCAAAAAAATAAAAAATAAAAAAAAAAAGAAGGAGAAGAACTCAGTAAATTCTAGACTAATGTATGCTAAAGAGGCTGCTTCCCTGTGTCAGCTCTAAGCTTTATTGTAAGAGTGTTTTAGACTCTCTTCTTTTTTTTTGAGTTGGAGTCTCACTCTGTCGCCCAGACTGGAGTACAGTGGCCGCTCCTGGCCACCGCAGCCTCGACCTGCTGGGCTCCGGCGATCCTTCCGCCTCAGCCTTCCGAGTAGCTGTAATTACAGGCGCGCACTACCACGCCCAGCTAATTTTTTGATTTATTGTAGAGATGAGGTCTCGCCTGCCCAGGCGGGTCTTGAACCTGCGGGCTCAGGCAATCCACTTACCTCAGCCTCTCAAAGGCGCAGGATTACAGGCTGAGCCACCGAGCCCGGCTTCTTCTTTTTTTTTTAAGTTAGGGTCTCATTCTGTCTCTCAAGCTAGAGTGCAGTGGCATGATGATAGCTCACTGTAGTCTCCACCTCCTGGGCTCTATCAGTTCTCCTGCCTCAGCCTCCTGAGTAGCAGGGAGCATAGGCACGCACCAGGGCTAATATTTTAATTTTTTTGTAGAGGTGAGGTCTTACTAGGGTGGTCTCGAACTCCTGGGCTCAAGTGATTCTCCTGCCTTGGCTTCCCAAAGTGCTGGGATTACAGGCTTGAGCCATCATGCTTGGCCTATTTTAGAATTTCCATATTCATTAATTCATTCCTTTATTCATTCAACAAATAGCTACTGAGTGTTTTTATATGCAGGGTCCTGGCAATACAATAGACCATTTCTCAGATGGATAGGCAGTTATCAAATGAATACCAAAGTAGTTGCAAACAAATGCTTTTTGAAACATTTTTTTTTTCTGGTGGAACAAAGATTTGTTTTCATTAGATTTTATGGCTTCCTTTTCATTGCTTGATGTCTGCTTAGCTCTTGCATACTTTATAGGCAGAGGTTATTCCTCTTTTAACAGGCATCAAATGCCAACACAGATGATGATCAATCCTTTGTTATTTCTAGATGTCCTTGGTTTCCTCAGTTGACACTGAGCACTGTTGACTCCTTCAGGAAGTACAGTTTTTTTGAATCCCTGTTCTCCCTCTTGCCTTTCATAGAAAGAGCGAGATTTAGAATTGGCTGCTCGCATCGGCCAGTCGTTGTTGAAGAAGAACAAGACACTAACTGAGAGGAACGAGCTGCTGGAGGAGCAAGTGGAACACATCAGGGAGGAGGTAAGGCACTAATGGCAGAGGTGTCTGGAGGGCCCCACCGCAGGCTTAGGAGCCACTGGCATGGCTACAAGGAGATGATATACTGGGGTCCTAGTTGGAAAGGCCCTCCCCAGGGAGTGCCCAAGGCCTGAACCTACAGCTGCCTATTCTGGAGTGGCCTCCTGGAGGTTAGTAACTGCCTTCCTGCAGCTCCTTCTGTTTCCTGTGTCTCCTCTTTGGGAAGTGTTGACGGGCCTGCTCAGAGTAGTCACGGACTTCAGTTGGCCATTAGGCCCTTAGTGCCCTGTTGCATGGGCAGACTGGATGTATTGGGTCAGCCACAGTCCTTGTCCTCCAAGTGTTCAGATGCTAACTATGTAGACTGATCAAGACACTGCATGCTTGGTAAAAATGCACACAGGGTAACAAAACAACGAGTAGGGGCTCCTGAGTCGTGCTGGGTGTGGGCAGCTGGAGAAGAGCCCCATTAGGAGACCAGCTCACATGCAGAGGCAATTCATATTCATTGTGACAATATATTTTTTTGTGTGTAAAACAAAACAAAAAATCGCCTTTTGTTTTCATGACAGAAACCCTATTATTTTCATGATATAACTCTTGGCTGATGGATATTGGTGGTGAGAAGAAGGGCATGAAACTTTTAGGCTTATATTCAAGGGACCTAGGTTCAAGAGGAGTGACACTAATGTTCTGGAAGGGATGTGATGTGGATGAAGGAGGGCAGCTGTGGAGTCAGACAGGGTTGCTAGAACAAGGATTAGAAACGTAGAACCATACTCTACTTCATAGCTTCTTTCCTATCTCTCTAAATGTCCTTTTACTAGTGAATATTAACTGTGAGGACTCTCCTCCTTGTTTCTTCTCCCTTATTTTGTATCAGAAACTTGCTTAGTGGGAGAGGATGTCCTTGTTCAGTCCCTAAGATGTGTTTAAACTTTTCCTCTTTAAAGCTATTCCTGGTACACTGTTGTCTGGGCTTGATGTTTGTTTTAATAAGATGCAGTATCATTCCCACTATAGAAGAAAAGTTTTAATCCTAGGTTTTCTTTAAAAGATGATAAGGCAGAATACTAGGAGAAATAAACTTGTACTGATTCCTGCATTCTCTGTCCCCTGTGTCATGACCTGAATTTCCCTTCTTCCAGGTGACTGGGGAGAAAGCATGCAGGTCACCCTGGCTCCCTCTCAATACCTTCTGAGCAAGAGCGACATGCCACCCAGTCACCAGCAAATGGTCATCCATCAGCTTCTTCACAATACACTCCTTGCTTGAGACAAACCTCACCTCATACAAAGAGCATCTGACTCTGAGAGTAGAGATGCCTTTTTTTCCCCTTGGAAAAGATTTGAATTTGAGAACTATAATGTGTTCCCCTTTGGCTTTTTTTTTTTTGAGTTGGAGTCTCACTCTGTCACTCAGACTGGAGTGCAGTGGCCGCAGCCGGCCACTGCAGCCTTGACCTGCTGGGCTCCGGTGATCCTGCCGCCTCAGCCTTCCAAGTAGCTGGAACTACAGGCGCGCGCAACCACGCCTGGCTAATTTTTTGATTTATTATAGAGATAAGGTCTCACCAAGTTGCCCAGGCGGGTCACAAATGGCATACTATTAAATTACCAGTCTAGCAATTGAAGCTAAAACCTTAATGCACATAAAATTGGCAATACATTCATTGTGTAGTGTAGGTAAGTTGCAGTAAACCATAGACCTTCAAGTCCAGAAACAAGAAAGAATTAAAATATAATTGTGATTCTTGTTTTTAGCACTAGTTCCATAGTCCTGAATGGTAAAACAAGTAAATAATTTTACAGCACAAGTTTATTTTAAAACTTCTAAGTATATATAGGCCTGGACATTAGTGGCTCACATCTGTAATTCCAACACTTTGGGAGGCCAAGGCAGGAGGATCACTTGAGGCCAGCAGTTCAAGACCAGCCTAAGCAACATAGTGAGACCTTATTGCTACAAGACAGTAAAAAAAAATTAGCTGGGCATGGTAGTGCATGCCTGTAGTCCCAGCTATTCAGGAGGCTGAGGCAGGAGGATTGATTGAGGCCAGGAGGTTGAGGCTGTAATGAGCCATGTTGGTGCCAGTGCAGACAGAGTGAGACCCTGTGTCTAAAAATACCAAACCAAACCAACCAAACAAACAAACAAAAACTTACATATGTCAATGTGATTTGCAAAACCATCTTAGTAAGAGTCAGTATGGCTAGTTACTGATGGTGTTACCTCTTTCTTCCAGGAAGAGGGGTTCTGTGGATGGAGTCAGATGGGGCTGCTCAGACAAGGATTAGAAGTTTAGAGCCAGGCCCTACTTAGCTTCTTTCCTATCACTCTAACTGTTCTTTTTCCAGTGAATTCCTGTATCTGAAGTTCCTATCCAGTGAACATTGAATAAGGTACAAGGTCTGGCAGAGCTTGACCAGGAGCTCTGTGAAGGTTCATCGTAGGGTGGTTGGTTGCTGTGTGGTTGTCCAAGTGTGAGAGCAGGGGCTGACAAGCTGCTTGTACTGGCCCATCCAGAGCTGGCATTTTCAGGATCCAGTTCTGAATGGGATTTGGTTCTGGTATACGGGAATGGCCTCTTCTCTCACTTGGTAACATGATCCATTTTTCTGGCCATTTTCCCAGCAGGTCATCTGGCTACTCCCAAGGCCCATGTGCAGTTTCATCCCCCTAGCCATCATTCTAGAGCCTTCTGGTCCCCTCTCTGTTCATCTCTTTACCAAAGTAAAAATTATTAGTTTAGACAGAGGGGCTTCTACCTAAAAGTAATCACGTTTTTCTTAAATGGGAACAGATACAGCCCTTCTTTGAATAGCATGAAGTTCGTTAAATACCTTAATCTTCAATGGAGAGATTTAAAAATCGTTGTTGCTACGTATTAAGTATTTGAGCATGAGTAGGGACGGAATTACCTTCTGGGTAGCAAGCAATGGACCCTGAATGTGTTCATGTAGGTGTCTCAGCTCCGGCATGAGCTGTCCATGAAGGATGAGCTGCTTCAGTTCTACACCAGTGCTGCGGAGGAGAGTGAACCCGAGTCCATTTGTTCAACCCCGTAAGTCACCCGAGGCTCCACTGCATTTCTGGAGGCCAGAGCCCAGGCTGGCTGCCATTGATGTTCTTGGAGTCACCTAGGCAGGGTCACCTTCACCAGCAATGCAGGTCAGGTGCTCTCAGCCTTCTCCAGACCAAGCATCCCAAGTGGCTCAGACAGATTGATTTTACTATTTTAGTGGGACATAGAAGGACAGGTTTTTAGTTTTCCCTTTCCTGGGTCTTATTGCTCATTGTCAGTTTAGATTGATTTGCACTGGCTTGTTAATAGGTAACAGGTTAGGCACTGCTAGGAGGAAATTCAGGGCTCTGGAGCCAGTGGACTGTGGTGGGTTCTTGGGACAGAAAGCATGGGGAGTTCTCCAAGAGTCAGCAGAATCTCATGTTGGGAGTATGAACTCTAGAGCTCAATGGCCTGGGCTCAGATCTCAGCTCTGCGGCTTCCTAGCTGCATGCTGTTTGCCAAGTCACTTAACCTCTGTACTTGTTTTCTCCATTTGTAAAGTGGAGATAACAGTAGTACTTGGGTCATAGGGCTATGATCATTAATTGCGTTAATGCATGCAGAGTGCTTCAAACAGTTCTTGGCACATAGAAATGAATTATGAGTATCAAACTCCCAGACTCATGTGACAACTGTGAATTGTGGATAAAGGACTGGGATATAGGTCCAAAGTGGTGGTGAACCTGTGTTTGGGGTGTGGGGAGTGCTGTCTTCTGGGGTTGGGAGAGCAGGATGGGTCATTGCCGCTCCTACAAGTCCCATGGTGAACTTTCTTTGAAACAGTCTTTCTTTGTGTCTCCACGTGGTTTGCCAGGTGGTGGGAAGAAGTGTCTCTCTAGACTGAGTGTACTTTCTCCCTCAGGTTGAAGAGGAATGAGTCATCCTCCTCAGTCCAGAATTACTTTCATTTGGATTCTCTTCAAAAGAAGCTGAAAGACCTTGAAGAGGAGAATGTTGTACTTCGATCCGAGGTGAGGTGCTAGAGGGGAGGTGGCCCCATTTGCGTTATCTAGCAAGATTAGCCATGGTTACAGTGCTCTTCTCAGAGGTGACAGTCTGTAGAAGAGCTGCACCGAGCGCTGAGCAGATGTGCTTCCTTTGTGTGCTGGCACTGCTTTCTAGCACAACACACACCTTCTGGGCTGGGGCAGGTGAACTTGGTGGATGATGCAGTGTGTGGACCGGGAAGGGTTGCAAACCCTCCCGCAGTGAGGTCTTCTCATGGTATTTTCCAGCTTTGACTCCAGTACCTGAGGAGAAACCCACCCACAACTTCATATTACTGCAGATCAGTTATGTCCTAAGAAATAGTACACAGGAAACTTAGAGCCATAGTCTTACACAATTAACTTGAAAGGTTGAACTGAGGCAACTTGGGAACTCGTGGTTTTGAGTATTTCTTACTGGCAAGGCATTATGCCAGGTACTTTGCCCACATTTATTTTTTTTAGTCTTTACCACAAGGCTGACACTGGTTACTTCCATTCTCATTTACAGTGAGACAAGCAGAACCCAGACTGCTAGGTGTTTTGGTATTCCAAGGTCATGTGAGTTAGTGACAAAGCCAGGATTTGCAAGTCTGTGTCTCTAAGCACCATGTTTTTCCCCTTCACCCACTGACTGCCCCACTCTAGAAACACTGATGCCTGCAAATTTAGTACTATTTGTCTTAATTAGTGATGAGTTTATGTTCTCTAGCCAGAGGTGTGGTGTGATACAGTATGGCCCCATTTATCAGGTCCGTGTTTGCTAGGTTTGAGTGGTGTGCCCATCTTGGCCTGCCCCAGGGGTCTCAAAGCCCCTCCAATAGGACAGACTGTCTGTCACCTTGAACTTGCCCACATGTCAGAAAGATCTTCACATCTGGTGTGAACAAGACGCTCTTCTGCCAGTCATATTCTTTTGGACTTCACCTCTTCCAACCCCTCATTTATTGATGGGAAGCATAAGCCCAGATTGACCCAGAAGGTTGCACAAGTTTCCTCTGCCAGCCAGTGACTGAGCAAGACTACAGCCCAGTGTTCCCCATTCTGTTTAGTCTCCCTTCTAGTACCTGCCCCAGGTAAATGCTCCAGGCCTGGCACCCAGCAATTCAGCCCAGTCAGAATCTTCACCCAGAGCTAGTTGAAGCAATCTGATCCCATCTATAGATTTCTGCTACCCCACCACTGTCCTCAGAAGTGTAGTGTTTCTCTGGGTCCAAGACCCAAGGGCTCAGAGACACTCATCTCTAACTGGGGTATTTTCTTTGGGCTTTCAGATCTTTATCAGCCCATCTTTTCAGCTTGAGCAAGTTTTCCAGAGTCCTAGAATTCAGAGTCCTGGGATAGCACTTGGCCTTCTGTATTTTAATGCTTTCATGTTAGAACTTGGTCTTATTAAGCCGAACACAATAGGTTTAACTCCAACTCAGAAGAACCTCATGGTTCAGTGCCTGGCATGTAGTAGGTGCATGGTAAACGTCAGTCATTCTTGTGTAGTTATCCTTCAAATGCCTGGTGGGGAAATGGCCTAGGCACTGTGAGGGTCACAAAGTGTTCATGTCCATGAGCCGGGATAGACACAAATGAATAGACAGACTGATACAATGGCAGTGCTTAATGGTGTTTTCAGCAGTGTGCTATATCTCTTTTGTGCCAAGCGCTTTGTGTGGCGCCCTCTAGTGGTGTGTGCTCTTCAGCTTTCAGCGTGCGTGTCCATTAACTAAGCAGGAAATTCAGATTGACTTTCTGTATTTGAGGCAGCCAAGGGTGACAGGTGGGGAGATGCTGTGGGTGGCTTCCCAAACCCAAGTTAGCCTTGCTCCATGCCTCAGCCCTTGCCTGCCCCACCAGGCCAAGTGTGAATACGAGGCCTCTGACCTGGGTCTTGTTCACAGGCCTGCCAGCTGAAGACAGAGACCATCACCTATGAGGAGAAGGAACAGCAACTTGTCAACGACTGCGTGAAGGAGCTGAGTATGTCCCTGACTCACCCTCTGCATCCCCTGCCCCCTCTTTTTACTGTCCTTCATCTGCTGTCATTATGATTAGACAGATTTGCATCACCCTAGATAAAGTGCAGCCTCCTCATCAGCCTGTGGGTCACTGGCATTTTTCTTAAAACTAGAGTTCTCCTTTAGCCTTGTGTGGTACCTTCCTCCCCATTTATGAACTGGGTGCTAGGCTGTCAGCTGCACATTATCACAATTTCTTACTGAGATAGATATTCAACTTTAATTCTGGCTTTTAACTTGAATATTGGAATTATTTAATACCTAAGTTAGGCCCAGCTACAGAAACCTGTGCTCAAGGTGTGGAAAAACTACTTGTTGCTCGTAATTTGATTTGTGGAAGTTGAGGCCAGGGTTCTCAGTTTTGCAAATAAATACTTTCCCTTCCCTCTCTGTGATAAATTTACAAGTTAAGACAAAAGAGCAAAATACTAAGCAAAGGAAAACCCCATGTTCAAACCTAGTAAAATGAGTTATGGCTCTGAATATGGGTTGAAAACTCAAAGGGAATTATATGCATACTGTTGGTAGTTACTTTCTAGAACAGGATGCAGCAGGGTTTCCTGTAGAAACGTTGATTTGCTCACGTGTGGTTCATGGGGATTTGGCCGGAAGCACCCATGATTGGTGTGGCACCTCCTGGGTGATTCCCAGAGCCCATCTGATTTGCTCTGGGGAGACAGCCTTGGTTGGTGGGATTGGGTCCCCATACTGAGCCCAGAAGCAACAGTTCCGGAACCAGGTTTCTTCTCATGACTGAGTCTTGAAGAAGTCATTTTGCTTCCCCTGTGGTGAAATGATCACTATGATTTCCTTCTTTCTGCACACTTTCCACTTCCTGTACCCCACCCACACCCTCAGTAATAAAGATGGTCGGTAATATAGATGTTTTCTTCTTATGCAAATCACAAAGAAACCATTCTCTCTGGGTCTGCGTGTGTGGTTTTCTGACTTACTCTTGTGATTGTGGTTTCTTTGTCAAAGGGGATGCCAATGTCCAGATTGCTAGTATCTCAGAGGAACTGGCCAAGAAGACTGAAGATGCTGCCCGCCAGCAAGAAGAAATCACACACCTGCTGTCGCAAATAGTTGATTTGCAGAAAAAGGCAAAAGCTGTAAGGCTTCTCTGCTTCTCTGGCTGGTACAAAATAGTCGTGCCGAGATGGGGAAGGGGCATTTACTCCAGAAGACTGTGCCCTTTAATTTCATATCTTAAGAGTTTGTGCTGCCCCTTTGGAGAAAAAAAACTTAGTGGATCCTGTGGTATAAGACTCATCACCCTGAATTGGCAAGGGATCTTATTTGTGGCTTCTTATCTCCTAAGGATAATCTGCAAATTAGTAGAATTAGTTAAAAAGATGTAAATGTGGAGTTTTAAAATTTAACTTATGAATCAGCTAGTCTAGTATTTGTTTTTACACAGTGTACTATGTTCTGCAGCAATATAATGTCACCTTTAGATTTAAGACAAAGCAGCGAAATCAGTTTCATTTCCCTTGTTAGGCATTAGGACTGTGCCATAAGCATGGGGTGAAATGCTTCTGGAGAACTAGCTAGATGGTGGTGGGGGCGGGGGTAACTATAAAGAATAAATATGGATATGGGAAAGACTTTGCTTTCAAAATTATATAAAAGACAAAATTCTGTTCCAGTGCAAGATAAGCATCTCATTGTAGGAAGAGATGAGATCGTAACAGATAAGGTAATAAGAGGGAATAACATTGAACTAGCTAAGTATCTTAGAAGATGATGTATCTTTGCCACATTTTAGTGCGCAGTGGAAAATGAAGAACTCGTCCAGCACTTGGGGGCTGCTAAAGATGCCCAGCGGCAGCTCACAGCCGAGGTGAGCATCTCTCCTTCCTTTTTACAGGGCCTCTGATGGCAATGAAGGTGGATCAGCCTCCCTTGACAGCTTTGGTCACGTTCATCTTTGTAACCGTTTTTATACTGAATTTAATTTCGTTTTTACCCACAAAGTAGTTCCTGGGTGCCCCTTGATTCTGTGCCCATGGACCCTGTCACTGGTTGTGAGCAGTTGGGAGGCTGGGTTCCATACCAGACGAACCTGCCCGGGCAGACTCCCACAGATGTTCAAATAAGTGACACCCCGTAACACAGAGCACCCTGAGAGGAGCCTCTTTCACAGATGTGCGGGTGTGACGATTTGCTTTTTCTTTTGTTTAAAGTTGGTTTTATCTCAGTTGTCCATTGTTAGTATTTTAGATTTCTGAGTTTGTAAGCTTGCCCCCAAAAGCAAACTTGAGGACTCTTTGTTATCTGGTCAAAGGCCCACAGGGCAGCGGGTTCCCCATGCTGGGGGCTCTGTTAGGTAACTGTATCTTCCTGGCTCTTGGGTAGGTAAACATGTACATACTTGGGTGCTCAGGAGATCCTCACCCTCTGCATCTTTCCTGGTCTCTGCAGTTGCGTGAGCTGGAGGACAAGTACGCAGAGTGCATGGAGATGCTTCACGAGGCACAGGAGGAGTTGAAGAACCTCCGGAACAAAACCATGCCTAACACCACGTCCCGGCGCTACCACTCTCTGGGCCTGTTTCCCATGGTGAGTTGGTGCTTTCTTTCCAGCCGGGAGCAGCAGGGGTCCTGGTGATAGGAAGGTGGCAACTGACATTATGGCTGCTAGATTTGGGGCTTTACAGTTAGCTTCTCATCCTGCAGCTTGGACTTGGGTCTTAGTCAAGGACACTTGAGCTGAACTGGTGATTTCTTAGCTACATAAGACAAGTTATTTTTTGCTTTTTCCATTCCTATAAATCTATTGTCTTTTTTACTCCTGCCTTTAAGAAATAAATTTAGTAAGAACTTGATCTAGTAGGAACCTTAGGTATTTGGAAGATCTGACTTATACAGGTTAACTATCCCTAATCCAAAATCTGAAATGCTTCAAAATCCAAAACTCTTGGAGCACCAGCACAATGCTCAAAGGAATGGTCATTGGAGCATTATATATTTTGAATTTTCAAATTAGGGATATTCAGCCAGCATGTTATTTTGGAAATATTTCAAAATTCAAAATAAAATCCAAAACACCATTCCTCCCAGGTACTTTGGCTAAGGGATTACTCGGTCTGTACCTGATTTTTTCTGACTTATTAGCAGGAAGTTAATCTCCTTGTAGAAGTTGGACAACACAGGGCTGAACTCCTTGGCTGGTCATTTCCCTGTAAGGAAACGTTACAGGAGAATGAGCTTACTCATTTTATCTTCTACCAGACTAGTGTCCCTTGAAAGGAGGGGACTGTAATTTGTCACCTTTTCCCCTCTTCCTTTTAGTACTCTGTACCTAGCTTAGCACTTGGTCTGTTGTAGAATTGTAAACGCTTAATAGATATTACATCCGGGGCCGGCCTCTGTGGCTCAGTCTGTAATCCCAGCACTTTGGGAGGCCGAGGCAAGTGGATTGCCTGAGTCTGCGGGTTTGAGACCCACCCGGGCAGCTTGGTGAGACCTTGTCTTTACGATAAATTAAAAAATAGCCAGGCGTGGTAGCGTGCGCCTGTAGTTCCAGCTACTTGGAAGGCTGAGGTGGAAGGATCACCGGAGCCCAGCAGGTCGAGGCTGCGGTGGCCGGGAGCGTGCCACTGCACTCCAGTTTGGGCGACAGAGTAAGACGTCAACTCAAAAAAAAAAAATAAGATATTACATCTGGATGATGGATGGACAGACGGACAGACAGACAGACAGACAGTCTGAAGAACAAACTCCCAAGATCTCCTTTATATTCAGGCTCTATTTCCATGGTTTGATGAAACACCAAATTCTCTCTGAGGAGAGAAGAGCTTTTGAGAGAAACTCCCCCCAAAATGAGATAGGAGTGGATGGCTGAACAAACATTTGTGAAATTTGGTCCCTTCTGAACTTGGCCTTTCCTTGGAGCTCCATCCCTTCAGCCTCTCATTGTGACCCCTGCAGATACTTTCCCCCACTCCCGCTCCTTGTCTGGTCCACTTTCCCTGAATCTTGATCTCTTCTTTGTTTTCGCAAATCAAAATGAGGGTAGAACTATCTTACACCTGCCCGACCTCAAGAAACTTGGTTGAAATCGAAGAGAAACAAAAAAGAAAGACACTTAAGTAATAATCAACTTTCCAGAGGGCAGATGGGTGATCCAGTGATTCCAAGATTCCCAGAATAGAAGCAAAGAACCTTCAGTCCCCTAAGTTTCCCAACCAACCACTAACTACGGCTCACACGCTGCCCTGTGCAACTCTGCAGGCTCCTTCCTGGCTTCTCCTCATTTCCCTCCTTTCTGGCTTCTTATCACTCTCAAGGACAGACCTGTCTTTGAAAATGAAACATTGCATAAGAAAAGCTGAACTGAAAATTTGCATTTCAGTTTCTTCTGGAGGGATCCTCAGCTTTCATATTTGCTGAGGTAAAGTTTTTGTTTGCCTTTTCCTGTAGCTGTTGGCGCAGCCCAATTTTTGAAGATGGCTATTTTTAAAGTGCATTATGCATTAAACGTATTTAAAGCAATCTAAAGATTGCACCATACAGAACGCCCAGATCTGCCTCTTTTGCTCCCAGCCATTCTGATTGCTGAATAAAACAGCGACTAGCAGTTTTTACTTAACTGGGTTCCCGATTCTCTTGCCTTATGGCAGGAGTTCTTAATCTGTGAGCCACAGACTAAACTCATGGGGCTTGTGAACTTTGAGGGAACATTATCTCTATTTTCATTAACCCCTAACTGTATTCAGTATTTACCTTCTTTATGAAGGTTGACGATGAGCCATAGTGATATTATCACTGCTTGTGACTTTGCCATCGGTAGAAGTCACAGGTATTTTGTGGCGCATTTTAGTTGTTACAGATGCCTCATAATAACACTGAAGCTGATCTCCATGTCACAGTAACAGTAATTAACAGTCCTGAAACTATATATTTTATATGAGGAGGACCCCCCCAAAAAAACACTGGAATTTATTAAAAACTGTGTATTTATTCTTGTATGTTTAAACTTCCATCACGTTCACATTACTCTTCATTTGATGCAGTGTACCTATCGAGATGCTTTTTCCCACTGTTCCATACTCTTCATTTGATGCAGTGTACCTATCGAGATGCTTTTTCCCACTGTTCCAGTTTTAGAACTCATGAATTTTGATGCCTTTTAGTACTTCTGCCATTTTTTTGTTTTGTCTCTTCCACATCAGCAAAACATTTCTTTTTGAGGACTTTTTTCATCCAGGGAAACAAAAAGTCTCTTGCAGTGAGATCAGGTTAATAGGGAGGGTGGGGCCTGAGGGCCATGTTGTTTTTGGTCAAAAACTGCTGAGCACTCAGCATGGTGTGGGCAGGTACGCTTGTAAATCACCCATCATGAAATGGGCAAATATATTTAAAGAATCTCCAAAAAAAATTCACTGAAGCCAAACGCAGCTTCTCACAACAATGCCAGCTGGTACACTGATACCAGTTCCTAGAACACTTACCTAGCAGGGGAATCCTGTACTATAAGGGACCTACCCTCCAAAAAATAATTCTGGGGGCTTTTGGGAGTCCCCTAGTATAGAGAACACAAACGTTGTTATATTGATAAATAACTGCCTTCCTTTGTAATCCTAATAATTTTTTTCATTAAAAATATTATTCTATGGCTGAGCACAGTGGCTTATACCTATATTCCCAGCATTTTTGAATGCCAAGACAGGAGGATTACTTGAGCCCAGGAGTTCGAGACCAGCCTAGGCAATATAGAGACCTCATCTCTACAGAATAAATAAATAAATAAAATTAACCAGGCATAGTGGCACACACTTGTAGTCCCAGCTACTCAAGAGGCTGAAGTGGAAGGATCACCTGAGCCTAGGAGTTTGAGACTACAGTGAGCCATGATTATGCCACTGCACTCCAGCCTGGGTGACAGTGAGACCCCTGATTGGAAAAAAAAAATTATTCTGAAAAGGGGTCCACAGCTCTCTGTAGATTACCAGAAGAGAGAGAAAGAAGATCATGCCAAAAAAGTCACATAGCTTACTCGCGGCTTTATCCCAGCATAGCTTTGAAATTACAATATTCCTTCAATATCCATGGGGAATTGACTCCATGACCCCCTGCAGATACCAAGATCCTCTGGTGCCCAAGTCCCTGGCATAAAATAGTATAGTATTTGTGTATAAACTTCGCACACCCTCCCATATACTTTAATCACTAGATTACTTACAATACCTAGTACAAGAGAAATGCTATGCGAATAGTTTTATACTGTATTGGTTGTTTATTTATATTATTATTATTTTCCTGAATTGTCCATCTGAGGTTGGTTGAATTCAAGGATGTAGAACCTGGGTACATGGAGAGCTAGCTATCGTAATTTCATTTTCCTTAAGGTTTATGAAAGTCCCTTCCTTTTGATATTGTAGAACTCTGAATGTAAATTATATGGTGAATAACAAGATTAAAGAAATAAGCTGGTTTAAAAGGTGTCAGACTCACCTGGGGAAGCCCTTTACCAGACTTAGTTTAGTGGCAATCTGTGGGCAATAATTACTCAGTGAAATTGCATATTTGTGAATAAGAGTTGAAAACAAACCCACTAGCTCAACCTAGCTTCCTGCTGGCTCCTGTGGAGTCTCTCAGTTGGTTCCCACCTCCAGATTGGAGTGTCCTGTGGACTGTGGGACCATGGAGGTGAGTGTCCTAGAGTCCCAGGTGCTGTCTGTTGGGAAGTCATTGGCCACATGTGACTATGTAAGTTAAAATCAATTAAAATTAAATATAATTAAGAATTCATTTCCTCAGTCACACTGGCTGCATTTCAGGTGTTCACTAGCCACTCCTGGCTAGTGGCTCCTGGATGCACATGTGCTCCAGTGCAGAGAGGGGACACTCCCATATTTGCAGGAAGTTCTGCTGGTGAACATGTATTTAGCCCTTCCCTTTAGCTCGTCCTATGTGGGTGTCCTCTTGGTGTCCAGCAAGCACTTTTCTATGCACACCTGGTCCTATGGGCATCCACCTGCATTGTGTGAAGGCTTGTTTGTTAGGCTCTATCTCATGCAATGAGGAATGGTAGTGGTACAGGAGAGGGGACACCCATCAGGCAGCCTTTACTATTGAGTCTCAGCTTGGATCTGGCCCATAGGTAAAGTGAGAAGCCATCAGTAACTCACTTTCCTTGACCCACAAAGCTCATGACTTTGCTGGAGAGAGAAATAAGTGAACTGTTTAGGAAGGCAGCAAAGACTTGATGTGCTTGGTGTCTGCTTGGAAGGAAATGCAAGATTCCTAGTGGAAATAGGAATCCTACATTCCTACGTTAAGCAGGTTCTTAAAAGGTGGATAGTTGGTGGGGAAGGAGCTTCCCTTGCAGGAAGCCAGGGAGGACGAGAGCAAAGGCCTAGAGTTGACAGTGCCCACAACTCAGTTCATGCATGTGGAGACTTCTCCAATGCAGAAAAAGAGTGCCCTTTGGAGATGGAGAGTGCTTGCCTCAGAGCCAAAGTTTGAGGGCCTTGGTCTGGCTTCCGTGCCAGAGTACTGGATGAGCTAAGGGTGTGGCAAACCCTGGAGGCTGGGAGGACAGTAGCTTAGTGTGGTCTTTGCGGCTGTGACTCCATATCTGACTGTTCATAAGCTCAGAGGTATTTGGAAGTTCACCTGTCCCAATCATTCTGAACATGCCTCCTTCCTTCCATAAGTTCTCTATCCTTCCTTGTGGCTGCAATTGCAGCTCCATGGTTGGGCCAAAGGAAGAGGGGCTTTACACTCAGTGAGCCAAGGATTTACAGTGTCTAACAGTGCTGCTGCATTTAGAACCTGCCTGGGCAATTGCTCCTCCAGGGTCTCTAACAATGGAGAATACTGTTGACCTTGTGTTGTGTGAAATCTATGGGTTTCTGATGCCTCAGTTCACTCTCCAAGCACTCACTTGGCTGCATGCCTCCTTTAGAGACAGAGCATTTGAATTGCCACTTACTTGGCGTGTGTCTTCTGACTTTTCCCAGGACTCCTTGGCAGCGGAGATCGAGGGAACGATGCGCAAGGAGCTGCAGTTGGAAGAGCCTGAGTCTCCAGACATCACGTATGACCAGACAGTCTTTGTAGTTCTGAGCTTCCCAGAGACCAGCTTTTGACCTGTGATGCTCAAAAACTAGCAGTGTGGGGCCTCAGACACCAACATTGGCAACTATTATCCTTCTTGGTCTGATTAAGAGAAATAATAGAACACAGCTTACATCCCTTAGTTCTCTCATTAGGTCTTAAACACAAATTATGAACTCCCAGAAAATTCCAGAAAAGGAGATTTGTGTTTCCTATCTCTCTTACTACAAGCTCTATCTTGACATAGCTGCACATTTTAACCTTTCTTTTCTGTGGAAGACACTTTAAAAATTTTTTAAATTCTATTAGGAAAAGAAAAATAGTGGTGCAGTATTAGATACAGAGGGCTCTTCTAGATTATGTGCAAGGCTTACGTTCCCTTTCTGAATACATGTAGGGATCTACCATCTCTCTTCCCTAACTTCAGATCTTCTGCTTGGCTTACCCCCAGGCGTTTATAGGAACCTGTAGAGCAGGTTTTGTCATGTTTTCTTTGTACCCAGACTGTGTAGACAGAACAGTGGCTGTTACAAAAACATGCCTGCCTCTCCTTTTCTTTTTAAAAGGGAACAAATCAGCATAAAGTGTAGTTCTGCTCTTAGAAATAGCAGTTTCTAAAAATAGACAAATCAGGTATTTATCATCTCATCATAGAAGTGTAAGACTAATTTTAAGTCTTTTTTTAAAAAATACGAGTTGAGCTTTACTATATGCTAAGCAGTGAAAACTGCTCTCCTGGAACTAGTGAATATCATGAAAGAAAAAACCCAACGGGGAGACACGAATATCACATAAGTATTTTTATTTATAGGTCAAGCTTTAAGGACCTGAAAAGTAGTATCACTTTTGCACCACAGTCTTGCATTATAGTCCTGGATTCAGTGGATGTGAGTCTGTCAGATTTCACACTGTGGAGGAGGCAGCCAACATCCTAAGAAGCACATGGAGGGCAGAAGACAGAGACTACTTGGGGGCTTGTCATGGGCCAAGTGCCTTTTTTCTTCTCAGCTGATAATTTTTGGAGGGTTAAACTCCAAGGTCATTCCTGTGTTTGCTTGCTCATGGATGTTGCTATGCGTTCCCTCTAGGCACCAGAAGCGTGTCTTTGAGACGGTGAGAAACATCAACCAGGTGGTCAAGCAGAGGTCTCTGACCCCTTCCCCCATGAACATCCCTGGTTCCAACCAGTCCTCGGCCATGAACTCCCTCCTGTCCAGCTGCGTCAGCACCCCCCGGTCCAGCTTCTACGGCAGCGACGTTGGGAATGTTGTCCTCGACAACAAGACCAACAGCATCATCCTAGAAGCAGAAGCAGCTGACCTGGGGTGAGCAAACTGGGAGTTTTTATTTTTCAGTTTTGAGGAGAGGGAATAGTATGAGTTGAATCCAGTTTAGTAATCATGAAAAGGAGGTTGATGGGAATTGTCAAAAAAAAAAAAAAATACAGACCGTACAGTTCTCCAAATCTGTTCTACCAACCCACTAATCTTATAGTTACCCTTGGTACTTTCAACCAGTTTAAAGAGATATAATGCGATGATACCAGCAAGTCTGCTAGAGGATTAATGAATATTTTTTCTATTAATCTTCACTATTAGGATACAGAATAGGCATCTGTTTTGTGACCCCTTTATAACTTGGAAAGGCTGGGGAGGACTCAGGCTCTCTGTTTCATGACCAGAGTCTGGTTTGCTTCAGAAGGTAGAGTGCAGGGTGCCAGGGTAACCAGCACTGATCCTTCAAGTTGTGAGTCTGCAGAATGAGCCTTCCTCAGTAATGGTCAGTTACTCTTTGTTCTGAGCCCTGTAGAACAGCTCCCACCCCCAACATTGTCACTTAGTGTGCACCCTTTTTCTCTGACTTAATAAAATGGATTCTTCTGGACTGATTAGGAAAGACAGATAGGAAACTTCTTGATCAGAGCTGGTCTTGTTCAGAGTTGAGCTCTTAGCCTTGATTTCAAGAGGAGAGAGAAGCATCCCTTGAACCAGTTGCCCATCTGGTAGCCAGCAACCTGCAGAAGGTTTGTCCCTCAAGGATCCAGAGAGAGATGTTTACAGGTGCTGAGTTTGAGCTAGTATATGCACATTTTCATTCTACCGTAGTCCTCATCTTCATTTAAACAACAACAAAACAAACAAACTAAAAAAAAAAAAAAAACAACCCACAGAAGGTGAGCAGTTCTTTTGGGCAGGCATTTGCTTCCCCATTTTTGCCTAAATGTCAGCTGCTTGCTTAGCTTGGGGGTGGAGGGAAGAAAGTACCGCAGCCTCTGGCTAGTGTCCCCCGCTGTACATTGTCAAACCTTTGCATCCATGGCGCCCCCTGCCGGGCCTGCCACTCTTAAGCCCGCTTCTCCTTCCAGGAACCACGAGCGGAGTAAGAAGCCGGGGACGCCGGGCACCCCGGGCACCCACGACTTGGAGACGGCGCTGAGGCGGCTGTCCCTCCGCCGGGAGAACTACCTCTCCGAGAGGCGGTTCTTCGAGGAGGAGCAGGAGAGGAAGCTCCGGGAGCTGGCGGAGAAGGGCGAGCTGCGCAGCGGCTCCCTCACGCCCACCGAGAGCATCATGTCCCTGGGCACGCACTCCCGCTTCTCCGAGTTCACCGGCTTCTCCGGCATGTCCTTCAGCAGTCGTTCCTACCTGCCCGAGAAGCTGCAGATCGTGAAGCCGCTGGAAGGTGATCGCAGGGCACCTCGGCCCCTCTCTGCCCTCCTCGGCGACTCCCTGTGGTCTCTGATCCACCTCCGAAAGGCGGGGCACCTGTGTCACGCCTACTCCTTCTTCTTTCGCGACAGCCACCCGCGCTGTTGGTTCGAGTTCCTCTGAGCCCAGCACTCAGCCTAGGCCTGTGTCCCTCCCTTGTATGTGTCAGTGCACATGGGCAACAGAACTAACCAAAGAAATGACAGGAAGGTAGCCGCTGGCCTTCTAGTTCTTCCCTTTACCTTTAGGACCTTAGAAATAAAACCTTTTTGTAGCAGTAGAGGCACTGCTAGCAGACTCCAGAATTGATTAGGTTGTGTCTGGGGATTTGAGAAATGTGGACGATTAATGCTTTGGCTTCTCAGAAATTTTGGTGACAGGGAAAAGTGCCAAGTAAACACTTTTTTTGCTTGTTTTAAATAGCCACCTGAAAGCAATTTATGAGCTCACATGTTCTGATTTGATCTTCATATAAAGAGGGTGTGGCTTTCCGCAGATGCAGTGTGTTCTGAGCAAGGCTCCTAGAGTCTACAGCTTGGAGGCCAGAAAGCAGGTGGCAGTTGTAGAGGCAAGTAAGTTTTGTACCTCCATATGCCGCCCTTTTCTAGGGGCAGTTTACATTTTAGTGTCAGGAGCTCAGCAGATGATTAACCTCATAGAAAAATGACCTTTTCTCTTCCTTTACTTTTTTTGCTTTAGGCATTATCAAATATTTTCCCTTTACCTGCAACTGCCTTGCCAAGAGCCACCAAGCGTTTGTATCTTTCGTTTTGTGTTCCTTTAGTTTGGAAACCCATGTGAGTTCAAGAAGGTGTTTTAGAATTCTGAATTGCATCAGAAGATGCAAAGCCAACTCAGAATTTCTTGTAAGGCCATACTTCTCAGCTTATTTCTTATTATTGCTCTTTTAAGGAGCCTTCATCGACGTTTTTTTCTAATCACATCACCCCATGAAATTTTAATACCACAGATAGATTGTTTATGTACTATATGTACATTTGTGCTCATACCAAAAAATAATGCCGTTATTTTCACCTTAAAATCTGTTTTTTTCCCCTCTTGGGGGCAGTATTGCCCCTGTCAAGAATGCATGCTGAAAGGTGAGGTTATGCTTGTTAAAGACTCAAGACATGACTGGATCTACTAGTCTTCAAAGGAAGGAAGAGGGTGGCCTATCATTTTGTTTTTTAATTATTTTTAAATTGTATAATTGAGGTATTTCCTGGAGTTCAGAAAAGGTTTGGCTTACTCTTTTTAAATTGTTTTTCAGTTGTAAGCTTGGCAATTGTTTTTTGATTCACATTGTCTGTTTTTCTTTCAATAAAATCTTTCATTTCTGAAATTTTACTTTCTGCCTTACTTTTCTTTTTTATCCATTGTCTCTCAAAGATCATTGGAATTTATCATCTCTATCTTGTCTGCATTCTACATTTGACTTGTGTTTCATTAGATCATCTAAAGTTATGTTTTTGTATTCATTTTCAAAGCACATTGAAGGAAGAGGTTTTTGAAAATATGTTTTGAATGATTCATCTTTATTCCTTTTAATCTTGTAACTTAGCAGTATTTTTGGAATTAGTTAATAGATAAAGAATAAGAGGAAATCTTATTAGATTTGCAAGGTGAATTTCACCTGTAGTAGTCTGCTACCCAGGAAGCTAAATCAGTACCATTAAAAAGTCATGTCTTATCACTATGGCCTGTAAAACATCCTCATGGTATAGATACTTTTCATAGTTCTCTGACTTCTTAGTTATTTAGAATACAACCAGTATTTTCTTTTTTCCCTCCTCTGCACAGTTACTTTCTGTGTTACTATGTTTAAGTTGGTAGAATTAGAAGTCTGCTTGACTCCAGGCTCAGGACAGCTCCTACTGTGGCATTAGATAAGTTATTCTACCTTTTGTTTCCCTTGATTATGAAATAGGCTCATAGCTGTCAAACAGGATGGTGGTGAGGAGTAAATGTGATATATTTTGTATTGTGCCTGGCACCTAATAGTGCTTATTAAAACTTAGGCTCCCCAAACTTGTCCCTATTCCAACAGCTCAGATCTACAGGGCTGAGTTACCTATATTGAGACCTGGACCAGCATTGTGCTAGTGTCATGTTCTTATATTATCCTTTTCCTGTGGCCCACAGAGAAACTGATAGGATTCTCATGATCTCCAGCAGCCCAGGTAAATGTACCTGGGTGAGGCCCCTGGAGAATGTTGGCTGGGATCATAGCAGATAGCCAATCGGTGTCTTCCATCTATGTCTCCCTTACCTATTTAATTAATCTTGCTTATTGTGTCAGCCAAAATGGCTGAATTAGGTGTTTAAGAATGCTAGTACTCTTGTCTCTTCATCTTACCTTACCAGGTTTAAGCAGGTGGAAGAACAAACAAAACATCCAAACTAGACAGAGAGATATCTCTGTTAAAAAGACCAAGGTAGGCAGTATTTCTTTTCCTGTACTCTGTTCTTCCTTTCTGATTAATTATAACCAAAGTTGTATTTCCAAATAAACAATATGTAATTAGGGGAAAGTATACACTTCTAAACTGTTCATTATCCAGCAGGTTTCATTCTAACTTTTAAGCCCTGATGTTCCTCTGACATCAGCGAATTTGGTTTTCTTCTTTGGGTTACATGAAAACTTTTTAGCTGGAACACTGGGGTGTGGAAGGAAAGCAAACAGAATAAAGGGGAAGTGGGCGTAGTTAAGCTTTTCCCTCTGTCTGCACCCTTGTTCCATAGAACTTTATCTTGGTTCCTTGCCTTATTGCTTAACCCTGCCTCGTTTTTGTGTGGGTGGGAGGAGTGGGCAGGTTTTGAGTCAGTAATGGGAGGTAACTGATGGGACAGTGATTCTTCTGCTTTGTGTTTGGCAAGTAAAGGAAGCGAGGCTGGGGAATGAGCTGGGGAAATGGATAGGAAGGAGGCAACTTGGGCTCTTTATAAGATGCGATTCATATATGTACTTTTTAATGTATATGCCCTCTTGTGTCAAAGGAAGGACTCTAGGCAGCCAGGAGATCAGTAGAGTTCCTTCATGGTGGTTCAGGCAGCGACAGGGAGGTGAGGTGTGGGGTGTTCTGCCCAGATGCCAGGCTCAGCAAACCCCTTGGGACCTAGGAATGAGCCAGGCATGGAGGTAGCCCATGAACCCCATTGTGTGATGTAACTGAAATAGCACAGTTTATTTTGAGAAAACACACACATAGGTATTAGGAGAGCCATCCAGGTATGTTATTGACTAGATTTCTGAGATTAAGCCTCCTTCATTGCTGCGGGGCAGTATCTAGGGTTAAAAGGATGGACACTGGAACCAGCCTTGGTTTCAATCCCAGGTTGACCCCTTGCAGGCTTTGCAATCTCTTGCATGTTACTTTACCTCCCTGTACTTGGTTTCTTTATCTGTAAAATGGAGACAACAGGGTTATTGTGAAGACTAAATACATGAGTTATAAATGTAGACCTCTCGGCAGAGTGCCTGGTATTTAGTAAGTGCCCAGTAAATGTTGGATGTTCTTACCTGAATATGGGATGCCTAAGGCGTGGAATAAAAATCAAGGATGAAGTGTCTTTCTGCATAATCTTTTAGTTGTAATCTCTAAATTTCCAAGCTGTGCAGTGAGAGAATGCAGATAACTCCTCCTTAACTCCAAACAGCAGACCCTTTTGTTTCTCTCTCTCAAGCCCATCTGTGACAGGGCAGTTTGTTGAACAGATGGAGGAGCATGGCGTTTGGGATGCTTGTCAGGGCCCAGAACTCCAGCCCCCCTGGGTTCTTTCCCAGTGGACTGTAAGCATCTTAAGCCCCCATAAGAGGGAGAAGGGAGATTCGGCATTTCCTTGCCATGGCTCTTTACTTTCCAGAGTCTTTTGGTTTCCCTTTTTTTCCCCCTTCCAAGAGTAGAGGTGGTCACGTTATACCTGAAGATTTCCCATCATCCTTCTCAGACCCCAGTGTACGGTCCCAAGCTGAACATGACCATGGCCTAAGACCTCTCCCTAGTGCTATTTTGTTGCCAGAAATGTGCCTGTGCACCCAATGAGCACATAGGTGAGCCCAAGAGGTAGTGTGAATGAGAGTCCTCAGGGATGGCAGAGAAATCTCATCAGCAGGAGTGTATGTGTGTCTCCTGGCAGGCCCTGGACATGCACCTGGAATTTTTACTGCCAATCATTTATGCAGCTGGGGGCCTGAATTCCTGACTGGAACACAGGTGTTCTTGTTTTTACATCTGTGGATTCTAGGGGGTGGGCAGTGTGAGATTACTGAAAGAACCTGGCCTCTAGCTCTGAACCCTGGCTCTAAACACTATTAATTCAGTGACTTTTGAAAAGTTATCTAACTTCAGGCAGCCTCCATTCCCTCATCTGTAAAGTGTGTAGTACTTAGTCCATAGAGTGGTTTTGAGGAGTGAGTTTATGTGATACATGTAAGACAAATTGCCATACAGGCATGCCTCAATTAAGAGTAGATTAATTTTTTTTAAAAATAGAGGTTATCGTAGCTCATGCCTGTAGTTCCAGATACTTATAAGGCTGAGGCAGAAGGATTGCCTCAGCCCAACAAGTTGAGGCTGCGATGGCTGTGAGTGTGCCACTGCACTCCAGCGTGGGCAACAGAGTGAGACTCCTACTCCAAAAAAAAGGATGCTGTAGCACCTGGGACTCAGGATCCCATAAACTGGCCTCGGCAGGTCTCTGAAACCCTGTCCTGGTTTGTGCAGTGTTGCTAGAATGTAAGCTCCCTTTGGAGAGTGGATCTATGCCTTCCTGCAGATTCTCAAAACGTCTGAGGGTTCAGGAACTACAGCTCTAAGGCAAGGTTTCTCAATCTCAGCATTGCTAACATTTTGGGCCATATCTATTTTTTATTTTAATTTTTTAAATTTATTTTGAGTTGGAAGTCTCACTCTGTTGCCTAGGCTAGAGTGTGGTGGCATGATCACAGCTCACTGCAGACTCAACCTCCTGGGCTCAGGTGATCCTTCCACCTCAGCCTCTGGAGGAGCTGGAACTACAGGTACGTGCCACTGGACCCAGCTGATTTTTTGGGTTTTTTGTAGGGACATAGTCTCGGTATGTTGCCCAGGCTCAGATCATTTTTTGTTGTGGGAGCTGTCCTGTGTACTCTTGGATGTTTAGCAGTATCCCTGGCCTCTACCCATCAGCTGCCAGTCACATCCTCCTCTTCCTTCACAGTTGTGACAACCAAAAATATCTTCAGATATTGCCAAATGTCCCTTGTAGGGCAAAAGCATCCCTCGTTGGGAACTACTGCTCTAAGTGTACCTCACCACCTAGTGGGAGAACAGGTATATGGTAGCCTCTTTCATTATATTCACTCTTTACTGTCTTATTTCTTTTTCATTTGCAGTTAGATTATTTTCTATTTATACTTAGTAGATCCAAATTAAGAAAGTTGCTGTTGTACCTGTGCACATTTAGAACTGGGATAGACCTCGAAGTGAGTGTCCAAGAACTCTTTTTTTTTTTTGAGTTGGAGTCTCCCTCTGTCGCCCAGACTGGAGTGCAGTGGCCGCTCCCGGCCACCGCAGCCTCGACCTGCAGGGCTCCGGCGATTCCGCCTCAGCCTTCCAAGTAGCCGGAATTACAGGCGCGCACTACCGCGCCTGATTTATTGTAGAGATGAGGTCTCGCTGCCCAGGCGGGTCTCAAACCTGCGGGCTCAGGCAATCCACTCACCTCAGCCTCCCAAAGGCGCGGGATTACAGGCTGAGCCACTGAGCCCGGCTAAGAACTCTTTTTTAACATGTATTTGCTGTGTGCTCAATTTTTTTTTCTTTTAAGTTGATTTGAAGTTGCTCATTTACAAATTCCTTCAAGCCTCCTGACTGAGATTATCCCAAGAGAAGTTACTTCCCAGCGATATTTGGAAATGGTGAACTCACTGGGCACACTAGAGGGTCCCGGCTGTTCCCTCACCCTACTACCTGCCATCTGTTTCCATTCCCTTTTACCTCCACTACCTGAACTGTTGGCTCCTGGCATCATTTTTTCCCTTTACTTTGCTCCTTAGGGCAACCTGTAGCCTGGAGGGATTCCTTTGAACATAGAGTATTTGTGTGTCCATGTGCATTTGGGTTTCATCTGTAGAATGGGGCTAGAACTCCCAGCCTCATGGACCACCAGTATGACCTGTGTCATGTGAGGTGTTAATAAGTGTTTCAAGGGGGTAAAAGGGTTGTCTTGTCAAACAGATTGGGCAGAACCCCCAGACATTGTAACATACTAAAGGTTCTAAGATACCCTACAGTAAATATACATCTTTTTTTTTTTGATTTGGAGTCTCATTCTATTGCCCAGGCTGGGGTGCAGTGTCACACTCACAGCCACTGCATCCTCAACCTGCTGGGCTCAGGTGATCCTTCCACCTCAGCCTTCCAGGTAGAATATACTTCTCAACCAGGCTTCCTAAGTACACTTGGCCAAGGAACACTTCTCTATGTAGAACACCCATGACGCCTTAAGGTCTTCAAGGACACACTCCGGTGCTATTACAGATCTTGCACGATATCATCTGAGTCCCAGCATCTGGTGTCACTGAAGAGATGGGCTCCTCTGCTTTTGACCTCTGAGTGCACTTACCATGTTCTTAAATCATACCTCTTTAACCTGATTCGCTCTCACTAACCCTGAAGCCTCTCAACGTTGCTGGCAGTATACAGAAAACCTAAGTAAAGGAGGTGACGGTCACACCTATCACTTATCTGTACGTGCTGCTTTAATTTCTTTCTGCTTTCTCTTGTTGCGGTTGTTGGGATTGGTTTGACAGTGTCTTATTCTGCCTGAGCTTATGTCTTCTGTCTTCCCAGCAGTGTGTATTTGGCACAGAACTGGTACATGTGGCCCCTCCTGTGTTTATCTTACCTTTTTTTCCTCTTCTATTTGTAAAATAACAATCAGTTCATTTTGGGGTTGACGTCATTTAATTAAAATAAAGACTCTGTCTACCAAATCTCCTTGGCACATAGTATAGTATTAATTTACTTTAAAACAGGAGTTAATTTTTGATTCCTTAAGTTGGCACCCCATCTGGTCTTAGCTGCTGTTGCATGGCAAGAAGGGCTAAGGTAGTTTCACTGAAGTTCCCACTGCAGTCTACCTATGGAGGCTCAGGCTCTGCTGGGGTTCCCGCTAAACACCTGAGGGTGGTAACAGCCATTGTCTTAGATACCCGTTCTAACCCCATCTTCTTGTCTCCCATCTTCTTTTCCTTTTCTCCTGTAAGGTTCTGCCACCCTTCATCACTGGCAGCAATTGGCCCAGCCTCACCTTGGGGGGATCCTGGACCCCCGGCCTGGTGTGGTCACCAAGGGCTTCCGAACACTGGATGTTGACCTGGACGAAGTGTACTGCCTTAATGACTTTGAAGAAGATGACACAGGTGACCACATTTCTCTCCCGGGCCTAGCTACCTCCACACCAGTTCAGCACCCAGAGACCTCAGGTGAGAGGTCCCAAGCACGCGTGACTGTCTCAGGCAGCAGAAGTTACCCGAGCCATCCTCAGGCTTCCCCAGAGGAGATGCAGGAGCCGCCAGCGGCCGCGGAGGAGGAGGAGGAGGAGGAGGGGTCTGGTGAGGGCACCACGATAAGTCCTGTGAACTTGGCACCTCTCCCAGAGGCAGAGTTCTGGGCCATTCTCACCTCTGTTCCGGGTACCATCCGTAGTGGCTCTCTGTCTGTAGCTTCTGCTCGTCCATGTGGGTGATGATTAAAACATTCACATTGTGCAGTTCTGTTTTTTAATACAGAGTCTGATGCCTCCTATTTGTAACAAATGGGTGTAGCTCCCTGCCCATCTGGAGGTGCATGGCCTAGTAGGGCTCTTAAAGTGGGAGCAGGAAAGGCTGCTAAAAAGAAGTGGATTGCTGGGTGCCCTGAGAACATCAGCACCCTTCTTCCTGTTATAGGCATTTCTCCACGTCGTAAGGAGCAGATTCTTGAGTTCCCTGGTGATTTCCAAACTGAGCCAAGCTGAGCAGTTTTAGGGTAATTGCAAGTGCTGGGTTGTTCAGAAGGTGAATGAGGTCATTCATTGCCTGTATGCTATATTAAAATAGAAAGAAGCCCAGGAAATGTTCAGGATTTCAGACAACACTTGATAGATCAGCCTTTTCACTTTCCTAATTTCAATGAAGGTATATGTGTTGTTTTCTTTTCAGCTTACACATGTGTTCAAAGTGGATTTTTTAAAAAAATGTTTTAGCAATACTCCATAACCAAGTAAACCCTAAGAGAATGTCATTAAGCTCTTCCAGAGTGGGGTCTCTAGATGAATCTGGAAAAGAGTTCTGGCTGACTCCTTCCCCACATCCTCCCAAGCATTAAAGGTGTGACTGTGAGTTTGCAGAACTACCCACATCCCAGTTGTCACTGGAGTGAAAAGCTTTGTGCCTAAGAGCTCCTGGGAGTTATGGTTGCTACTTAGGACCTCCCAGCCTCTTGTGCTGGGAAGACAACGAGCTTTTGTGGAATAAGAGGAGATACCCAAAATAAGATGAGCTAACCCAGTGTTATCATCCTCATGACATCCCTGAGTTACCACCTTTGAAGAAAGGACATTCATCTTTATGATTCTTCATTGTCATTGTATTGTGTAAAGGCCATAACACTCCCCTTAAAATACAAGGCAGGAAAGAGCTGAGGTTCTTGGTTTGGTGTTTCTTACCCCTGCTTAATTTCAGACAGCTGTGGTCAGGGGACTTTATTTGGGATCAACTTTTCTTTTTTCTTTGGCATAAACTTTAGAGGAGTCATCAAACAGAACCATGTTTAGCACATGGTTTTTTTTTAATGGTTTGTTTGTTTTAGCAATTAAATTAGCATATCAAGCTTGTGAAGGAATGAAAATGTTTCTTATTTCATACCTACACACTCCAGAAAAGGAAACCAGCTGCAATATTGTCCCTTTCTTTGTCATCAGCACCAGTGCCCAGCCACAAGGGTACTGGTCTGACTGATTTTTGTGACTGGAAGGGTAGGCATCATGTCAAGCAGGGTGCCCCCCAAAGCCTTACAGTAGAATAGAAGGTGAGTTTGGGAAGTCCAAAGAAGTACCATTAGGCGCATCTTCAAGAAGTTATCAGGTCAACAAAGAACTTCTCTTGGAGGACAGAAGGATAGAAGGGACTAATTATGAGGACTAAAGTCCTGACCACTTTCCTTACCATAAAAAGACACATGTCTTGCTTGTTCCCTCCTTACTCAAACCTGCAACAAGTTGATCCTGGCAACTTTATTTGAGGAGAGAGACAAACATTTACAGTAGGGTGTGATTGGAAGTGTGTGATTCAAAAAGAATTATCTAGGTTGCTGACAGTAACTTTGGACGCATCTGGTCATTTAAATGAGAGCTCTTTGGGATTTCTTTTCTAGGTAAGACTCATCTTAAAACCTAGCTGCTGAGAGGAAAGCTGTGATCAGTGATTTGGCTCTTTTTTCTCTATTGGTAATGACAGGCCATTTTGATTATTGGAATGTAGGATGCGCATGACTCTGTAAATCATCCTGGAGGCCCCAAGTGGCTCTGTGCCTACCATCATGGAGTCACAGGCAGACAGAGAAGCCTCAGGGGGAAGGCTTGGGGCATCCTCTGTCTTGGGATTTAGATCTAAAGTGGTTTGGTCCTGCCTTGGTCTGTCCCCAATGCTTAGGCTTTTCTGTTGCCAAACAGCACTATTCCAGGAGCTGCCATCGGCCTGGAAAGACTCAGTAGGGAGACATTTTGAAGACAGAAGGTGATTAACTTTTCACATACAACTGGTATGCCAGGAGGAAACTGGGAAGACTTGTGTATTAGGCACTTTTGTCTAGTGCCTACTGCTAATGGTGGAAAAGTTTTGAGCTCTGAAAAAAATATATATTTAAATGTGCTATTTGAAGTATCATTTGCTGATTTTTATAATCCCTCATCTTAAAAAGGAAGATTTCATGTTATTGTACTGTAAATAATTCAGATGATTAAAATGGATTGTTTAACAATTTTTAGATGATAGTGTTACTTTATTTCAATGGCATGTTTTATGTTTTAATTTATATAGACAGTACACTTTATCAGAGTCATTACCTGTCAGTATTCTGTATTTTAGGTATCTGTATATGGGAAGAGGTTGGTCAAGGATTAAGAGTGAAAGTCTCACAGTTAAATTGGTAGTTGGCTAATCGGGTGGACATTTCAGTTGAATTATCTTGGATGTCTTGATCCTTAAAAGTGAGAAACAGGTGGGTTTCAAGCCACATGGATAGAGGAAATTGAAGGTCAGCTTATTTTAATACTCATACACATGAAGGCCTTTTCATGTGGGGAAAATATCCTAAAACAGGCTCATACAAATCATGGTCTCTTATGTGGCAGCGATCCTGCATTTGAGCTGTGTTGTAATTGGGGCCAAGACCCTGAAGTCAGTGTGGAAGGTAAAAATCACACTTGGTCAAAATGGCCCTTGTAAGATCCCCTAACTCTCCAGTGCCTTGGCCGCCAGAGGCAGAAGCCAGTAATTACCTTTTTTTGTTACTTCCTTGTCTGATAGATAGGTCCAAGTTTTGTTCAGAAGTGGTTACTGAGTTAGGGAATGAAAGAGAACAGCTTGGGATGGAGAGGAGCCAGACAGAAAGTCCAGGAAGCTAAATATTACTGGGGGCAGGGGGCAGTTAGAACAGAGCTGAGCCAGCCTGCATCCTGCCTTGCTGGCAGTCCTGCAAAGGGCACAGGGACTACATAGGCTTGTGAGGAGAACTTGGTCCAGGGGCTCGAAGGGTCCATGAGGAAAAGTCTGGCACACTTGGCTCCCAGACCCTTGGGGAAGTTGCTTCCCATTGTCTCCGCCGAGAAGCGTTCACAGAGAATTCCCTCTCTGATGGAAACACCTTTCCATCCATCCCTGATTTTGTAGCAGTTATAGAGGAGTTTGGTCATTATGGAAGGAGCAGAGAGTGTCTGCTCACACCCACCTGTGTTAGGAGAGGCTAAGGAAACCCTTGTGCTCAGAATCAGAATACATGTTAAGCAAGAGCAGAACAGGCCAACTGCAACCTCAAAGTGGAAAAATGAATGAAGGATGAGAGAATTAACTCCTTCATAACAAACAGTCAATCCTGCTTAAAATTTCCCAAAGCCCATTTACTCGATGGCATCCTCCCCTCCAGTGCTCCTAGAGGTACCTGCATGGATTGGAGAGGAGTAGGCTTCTGCAGCTGACACTTTCTAATGTGAAGGGACCCTCAAGGGAGCACATGGGTGTTCAGGTTTGGATGAGTTGTAAACTGCCTGCCTGGTGCAGCATGGGAGAAGTGCTCTCGTGAACTGGCTTTGAAAGCATGAGTGAGAAAAGGTTGTACTGCAGCTCAGCCAAGGCCAGCTTCCCGGGCCTGTTGGTGTCTGCCACAGAAGGAAGGATAAGAGAACAGAGGGCACAAGGTCCAGCCTATTGGTGTTGGAAGCATCCAGGGACCCCAAAGAGATTTTTTGTATTTGCCCATTTGACAGCATTCTAAAAATCCCCTTTTCTCTAGAAGAAACTCGAGGGGTACTTGAGGGAATTTCTGACCCTTTTTACATGATGCTGTGAAATTGGTCTCTTAAATTACATGCTTTTTAGATGAGACAGAGGATAGACAGCTTGGTATAGTGGGAAGAGTTGACTTTTAATTTTGCAGAAGCCAAAAATAAGTTGTACAGAAACCAGAAAAAGATCTTGTGATGTGGTTGAGAATCTGTCACAGAGGAGATTGGAGGTTTTGACTGACCTGCAGGACCCAGCAAGGGCTCTGTTGAAGAAATGCTTGAGCAGAGAGAAATAGTTACCAGGCACATGTAAAGCCAGAAACTAAGGGCTTTTCAAAATGTCATCTTGTATAAAACTTTATCATTTAAAATCGCTTTTATCCTTAAAAAAAAGAAAGAAAGAAAGAAAAAGCTTCCCTGTCACATCTGAAACTACTCTTGGTTTCCCATTTCCCACCTCCAGAGGAAAATACTTGTTAAAGTGGCACTAATCCCTACCATACTATTTATATTAATGACAAATTGCAGGACAAACAAAGGTTTTATGGAACTTTTCCTCCATGAACTCATCATAGAACTTTTTTTTCCCCCAGAAGATTACTTGGGCAGAGTTATATAATGGAGTGACAGAAAATGTCTTGAAAGCATTTTCTGTGCCCTGATATTTTTGCCATTTCTTTAATAAAAAGGAAGCTATTTCTCACGTAGCTGACAGGCAAAGAAACAAATTCCTTTCTACCCTTCTCAAGCAAAAGGTATTAGAAGCTGGGCATTAAAAAATACTGATATTCTTAAGGGTTAGTTCAAGCTATGCCTTTAAACTGGGTGGACAGTGGCATTTATTTTCAATGGTTTGTTTTTGTTTGGATAGAAAAACCTAGTCTGTGGGTGCCAATGTTGGTGTGTGCGTGTGTGTGTGTGTGTGTGTATGTGTGTGTGTTGGCTGATGAGTATAGAATTGTTAAAGCAGATCCAAATCATATGACAGCAGCCTCATACCACATGTTCAAGTTAAGAAAAGGAAAGAAAAAGGTCAGGGGAATTTGGTTTATTTTGTTCGGGTAGGCCACTTCCCATGAAGAGTGGGAAAAATAATGTGGAAGGCCCTCAGTGCATCACAAAGATGGGGGTCCTTTTTTCCAAGATTTTAAAAAATTGTATTATATTTGTTTTAGAGACAGAGTGTTGTTCAGTTGCCAATGTTTGAGTGCAGTGGCACGATCATAGTTCACTGCAGCCTTGATCTCCTGGGCTCAAGCAATCCTCTTGCCTCAGCATCCCGAGTATTTAGGACTATAGGCATGCACCACCACACTTGGCTTTTATATATATAAATAAAAGCACACATTCTTTTACCAGCTGCAGATGGGTGAACCAGAGGACCTTGAGAAGGTAAGAGTCATCCTGGCTTTCCGGTTGGGCTTTGGCGTGCTTTCTGACCAGAGTAGGTATACTTGATTAGTGGCACTGACTACCTATGTTCCACCTGGGGGCCTGTGAAGCCTGGGACTCACTGGAAAACTGGGTAGTTGGGATCCTGCTGCTGCCACCAGTGAGGAGGTCCCCCCTGACGCGACCCCCAGTCTCTGATAGAGATGGGGCCTCCTCCCTGTATACACCTGCTGACTGCACTATATATATATATTTTATAGTTGAGGTCTCACTGTGGTGCCCAAGTTAGTCTCTAATTCTTGGCCTCAAGCAATTCTCCTGACTCAGCCTCCCAAAGGTCTGGGATAACAGGAATGAGCCACAACACCTGCCCCTTTTTCCAAGATTTGATGATGCATTTGTAAAATTGTTGGAACATATTTGGAAGTTATTTATATGAGTTTTAAAAAATGGCTTGGGTGTGTGTCATGGCCAGTGTTTCTCCATCTTCAAAGGTTTCCTTTGAAATAGCTGTGTATGGGTGTATGTTGCACCTCCCCATAGAAACACACCACGTTTGCACTGTCTGATGTCTCTGTGTGGGCTTACCTGAAGGTTCTTTTCAGGACTAGGTTTTATCATGGCCTTTAGAGAGAAGAAAGCTTCTGTCATCCCTAGCACATTATCATCACTGCCCTTCTCCATGGATGGGGGAAGGAAAGCACCATTAGGAGTGAATGAAATGCATGAGCAGGTGTGTACAAATCTCATTATGTGTGACACCAGACAGGCAGAGTTCCAATCATCATTATAGTCCCTGTGGAACCTCTGGACCCTGCCAGTGTCCCAACCTTGTCTGTGCTCTTTTCTTTTCCTCACGGTGAGAACACTGGGCTGTGCGGAAAGCAGTGGACTTTCCTGCCTGTTCCCCTGGGAAGCTTGAGCATTCCCCAAAGCAGCAGCCACCCTACTCTATATAGTGCAGTCTGCAGGTGTATACAGGGAGGAGGCGTCATCTCTATCAGAGACTGGGGATTGCATTGGGGGGCTGTCCTCACTGGTGGCAGCAGCAGGGTCCCAGCCACCCAGTTTTCCAGTGAGTCCCAGGCTTCACAGGCCCCCAGGTGGAACATAGGCAGTCAGTGCCCACTAATCAAGTATACCTTCTCCGGTCAGAAAGCATGCCCGAGCCCAACCAGAAAGCCAGGATGACTCTTACCCTCTCAGGGTCCTCTGGTTCACCCATCTGCAGCTGGCAGAAGGATGTATGCTTGCATGTGACGTGTTTTCAGAGCAGAAGACTTAGGTGCTAGTCACTGGTAATTCACTAACATAGAAGATTTTAAATAATCACGGATTAAGTTTAACTCTTACCAAATCTTGCACCAGTGTTAGAACCTGGGAGAAGAAGAACAGTTAAGAATAATAAAGGATGAGGATTTTGTGCTGGTAAAGGCAAATTTACTCGCGTAAATGATGAAAGTACTTGTCAGTGTTATTACATGCTTAATATCTGCCCATCTCCTCACAACACTTCGAAGCCCTCCAGTCAGGTAGAGAAAATAATGATTTAAGTGGGGAGTTAAAGCATGAAATCCAAGAAAACCTGCCCTCAGAGTCTTCAGTTTGAGCAGCACAAGATAAACACACAATACTGTCTTCTGCAAAGAACTTTCAGGTTAGATAAATCAAGAGCTGCGGTGTGTGGTGTGGTCTTGGTGACTTTAGTGGTGACCCCTCATCCTAAGATCCTACTCCCTGCCAAGTAGAATGTTTAATGTGCCCCCCCCCTTTTTTAAAAAGAACTTGCTTTCTTCCTGCCTCCAGGGCTTTAGGAATCAGCCTGTTGCTTCTCTGTGGCAAGCACAAGGAGCTTTGGGCAACTCACTGTCTCTGTGTTGTATCCCAAGGAAGGGAGGTGCAGCAGCGGCCCAGCAGTCAGTGGTGACAGTGGAGAACTTGCGGGTCCAGGCGTCCCAGTGGTATTTTGAAGGGGCCGAATCTCTGGCTTTGGCACTTTGTACACTTGTTGATTTTCCTTGGTCTTCTAAAGCTATTCATTGCTTCTGGGAGTGGTGACTTGTGAATTTTTAGCAGCCTTTTCTTCTCCCCAAAACCCATTTGTGTAAGATGGGTTTTGCTTCTGTTCATGCAGCTATGTCTCTAAAATGTCCATTTTACGCTACCTGTTGCAATTGAAGATCTAATACATAAGGGGGTGGAAGAAGTGGTCATTTGACCTTTTGATTTGACATTCTGGCCATGTTTTAAAATGGGGTATGCTTCTAATTTTTAATCCAGCCTTGCCTTCTTTGATTTTTTTGAACATGTTATCTCTCCTTCAATTGTTTTGTCTTAATTTTTCCTATTTACTGCTTTTCTCCCTCCCTCCTTCTCAAATAACCCTCATGCCTGTTGTTTGGGATGCTTTTCTCAGGCTTTTTGTTGCTTTTGTTTCTAGATCTTATTGCAGTAAGAGAATCGTGATTGTCTAGTTGCTTTCTCTTCATAGCTTATTCCATTTTGGTTTTGCTTGCAGCGGTTTCTTAGTTATCAGAGTTTCTAAGCCATTATGTTTATAGGTTGAGAAACAAAGATTCATAAAGGCCATTTTTATGTGTTTTTTTTTCCCCCTCCCTCCTGCTTTGCCCGAAGCTCTCTGTGGTTGAGAGCGTGCTCTTGTGGCTTGGTGCTGGCTGTCACACCAGGAGCCACGGGAGCCTCCTTTGACAAACAGAGCTGGGTCAGACCATAAAAACTGGGGCAAATCAGCCTTGCCTTGCTCCTCTAGTCACTGTCACCATTTTTGTGTTCTGATTTGCCCTGCCTGCCTTAATATGTGTGTCTCCAGTATTTTTTGTTGTTGTCACTTCATCTGGTTACTGGTTTTCTTTTAAGACACAGTCAGCTGTGTGTGGCTTTGTAGGTTTGGGGCACCAACCTATTCTGTTTTGTTTTCCTTTTCCTTCTTGTCAAATCCAAGAGAAAACCTACCATAGAAGATTCTGATTCACAGCCTTTTGAATCTTTGTGGCCTTTGAATCCTCATGGCCTCTGATGTTCTAATCAGTTTTCTCCAGGAGGTCTCTGGGGGCTGAGCTGCTGCAAGGGCAAAGGGGTGCGGTAGGGTGGGACGGGGGAATCACCCCAGTACTTCAGTGTGCATGCTATATGGTGCAACATCTTTTTTTTTCTTCATTTTTCCCCCCTAGTGCTTGAGATATGAATGAGAATGACCTCCACAATCATGATGTCTCCCATAGTCTCTTTTACTTGTTCCTTCGCCAGCTTTCTGATGCATGGTCCTAATACTTCCGTGATTTACTTTGCTTCAAACCATAGTCTTCAGCCCCCTTGACAACAACTTGTTAGAGCATCAAAAGAAAGGAAATTGAGGACAAATCGCTGCCATCTCCTTTTTGTTAGAAATCAGACATCTTAGAGATGGCAAGAAAGCAGTGGTGTGTGGGACAGGAAAGAGGGACTGGTGCCACTTGCACAGTATTGGGCCAGACTTGATGCTGGAGCTTTAGCGTCCCAGAGAGCCATGATCTCTGGAACTCTTTGCCATGTTGTTGTCAAGGCTGCTGAGGTCCCCATTTCCCACCATGACAATCACAAAGAGGCAGTAGTGGAGCCAGCTTCCCCCAGCCCCTTTTTGTATGAACAAAAAAGGGAGCCGTGAGCCTTGACCCTGTTTACAGGTGCCAAGTGCCTCTCCTTGCTTGCACCTCTCCCCTTCCTCCATGCAGGCGTTTGGTACCTGTTTGCCAATGGAAAGAAATGTAAAGCAACAAAAGAAGATAGCAGATTTTGATCTGAGGAGGGAAACCAAATTGACCCGCAAAGACCCATTAACCCTCCCCCTCCCCCGCAACCCAAACTGGATCCACTACTGACCCAAGAATACTGATGAGGGACCTTGTCTGAATTGGGTCGGAAGCTGGAGTTCGATGCATTGCAGACCAGGGCTCAAAATTGTGATTATTTTTGAGGACCCACCATCAGTTCAGAACATTTGTGTTTCACCTTCCTCGCCCAGATCCAGTTAACAAGGTAGCTCATTGCTTTTTGCATCTGTTGAGTGACATGCTGGATTTTTATTTGTATTGTGATTATCCTTGGATGCAAGGAATATGTTTTGTTCCCCCTCATTTAGCACACCATCCTGGGAAGTGCATGTCACAGACCAACTCCACGTTCACCTTCACCACCTGTCGCATCCTGCATCCTTCAGATGAGCTCACTCGGGTCACACCAAGGTAAGGGACTCTGGCCCTGGGGAGGGAAAGGTGGGGTGAGGATGGGCACTCCCTTCCCTGCAAGGCGTATCATTGAGGAAAGCCAACTCATTCAAAAGCCAACTCTAGCCAGCTTAAGCATCTCATAAGCATTTGCAGTCATCTGTTCTGGGTCCCATCTTTGCTTTTGGATTGAGGCTGTTATTGCCTCAGATCCAGCCCAGATGAAGAAACCTGTACCCACCTTCAGTTGTCCTTTTAGTTAGTCATGGAATGAATTCTTAGACCCCTCCTCAACCAGCTAAAGCTGACACTACCTCAGACCCTATAGCCGAGACTGTTGGATTTTTGCCCCCTCCACAGAGCATGGAGTTCTTTTATGCATGGAGTCAGTGAGCCCTGGGAAGCCCTTGTGCCTCTAGAATAGACCTTAGGTATCATGCACCACAGCCAAACTGTAATGACCAAAACAGTCAAAACTCCAAGACAGGCACGTGCCCAGCATAGTCCATTTCTCTGGTGCACAGTTTGTCAAGAGGACTTGTCTAGTGTGGGTTGGTCTGTTTGGCTTGATTTCAGGCCTTCCATAGCTTCCAGGAAAGGAAAAATGGTCTCTCCAACATAGTAGAGTGATCTCCTCAGCCATTTCCTCCGTGGTGCAGTCAAGTAGAATACCGGGTTAACAGAAGGTAAAGTGGAAAGGGAGGGAGGTAAGAAGAGTGAGCTCAGAGGGAGCCACCACCCAAGGAGCACCATAAACTATGAATAATTCTTCGCAGGTCATGTGAGGAAGACGACGAAGCAGCCAAATGCCCTGTTGAGCTGAGAGGAGATGTAGGGCAGAGAGTCTGAACCCACAGGCGAGGCAGGGGGTGAGCACACCACCAGCAGTGCCTGCCCCAGCAGGGTCATGGGGAAAGAGCTATGTGTGCACGTGTGGCCACCACTAACCCGGGGACTTAGGCGTGGATGTGTCTCTGTGGTTATGCCTGGCTAATGTGGCCTTGACAGTCCATATTCCTAACCCATCTAAACACCCCCAGTCAAGCCAAGTGCCAGTACTAATAAAGGCCTAACCTGAAGTTCTCACCAGACGGGGATCGATACATTTTGGCTTTGTCTTCTCCGTCTCCCTTCCTGCTCCCGGAGAACCTGGCTTCCCCATCCTGTGGCTTTATGTTTGAAAGAGGTTGTTTTTTTAAGACCATGGGACAAAGCCTCCCCTGTGAGAGGCTGTTGTTCTGGGAAACTTGATGGCACTCTTCTGACTGTAACCTTAGGACTCAGACCACACAAGGGTCTTCATTTGGATGTCCACACGGCCATGCTGGGGATTAAAACTGCCTGAGATGTCAGTAGCAAGAGTGCTTTTTTGCCTGAGTTTGAAAGAAAGGCTGTTGAAACAAAGTTGAAAATCTCCCTGGGAATAGCCAAGTAAACAAAATTTTAAGTCTAGAACCCCTTTTTCCCTCTAGTGACTGGATATCAATATTTGTAAAAATCTACCTGTGCCTCTTGGTGAATCCACATTTTTAACCTTAGGAATTTGCTATGGTTTCTCTGAGTGTTCCCCACCTGCCAACATTCCCATTCCTGAGCTTATGTGAGATGGGCTTGTTCTGTGGTCCCCTACCCTGTGCTGGCCAGCCAGTGGAAGTCATCTTGAAGTGTGGATCCCAGTGGTGCCTCTAGTGTATACTTGCTTTTGAACGGTCTCCCCACCGAGGGAGGGGGGCCCCCTCTTTGTTCATTCCAAGGACCTGCTCCAGAATAGACCCTCTTCTTTCTCTTTCCCCCAGTTGGTGCTTTGCCCAAAGAATCTGGGACTCCCCCAGCTAGGATGGGAAGAGAAGTCTCCATCCCCAGCTTCTGGGGACCACCCAACTGACCTGTTTCAAGGGGCACTGGCAGCCCCAACCGGTTCCTTGAGCCAACACCAGGGCAGGTCCCATGAGACTGTCAGGAAGGATATGTTTCTTTGCCCTTTGGTTGCTTGTTTAGAAGCAACGCAGGGCTTCCATGCCTGTTTGGCCTCCCTGCATCCCTGTAGCAGCTGTTAAAAGAGAAGCTTTCCAGTTTTTTAAGCAGGCAGCAATACATGTCATTTCCCTCTACAGCCCTTCTGGTAAACATTTCTGTCCAAATAGCCTTCACAACTGGATCTCAGCTGCTGGAACCTAGTGGGTTCTCAGATAGCATGACACAAGTGAATGGACAAATCTTTCTACTTTTCTCTATTACTTCAGGTTTCTTACACCTCAGTGGGCCTTTTTCTAGGTAGTGCTGTAGATATGGGTCTGCTAATGCGTGACATGGCTTCCCCTGACCCCAAAACTCCACTGGTCAGAATGGATTAGACAAACATGTGAAGAGGATTAAGGGGCAGCACTGTACAGAGGAAGGAGCGCTATCCTGGGAGTCAGGAGGCCAGGGCTGCCACTGACTTGATATATACCACCAGACCTTGGCCCACCTGCTGTGGCCATTTTCACCATTCCTTAGATAAAGAGTATCTCTTATCCCATAGTTCTGATCACGTCTAGATAAAGGATATCTCTTATCCTATAGTTCTGATCACATCTTGCCTCAGGGGGAAGTAGATATTTGGAAGGAATGCTGGCTTCTTAGTAAATTTGGTTGGGAAAGAAAGCCTCTATACTTTCTTGGGAATCATTCAGATGGGTTTGAATATTAGGTTGTTCCCTGAACAGGTATGACACTGAGTAAACCTCTGAGCCTTTCTTCATTTTCAAAGGAGACAGTTACACTCACCCACCAGGAATGGGCAAAAAGGATCACGTGCAGCTTCCAATTAATTTAAACCATGCCCTCATTTAAGGGAATCTGAGACTGCCATGGGCGAGAGGGAGGAGTAGATGTGGACAGAGGCATCTGGGGGGGTCTCAGCCCGGGCAGTCTTCTTGTGTCCCAGGCCTGTCCTCACCCCCTGCAGGGGCTGGCCACTGATCCTTTCTGTGGTGATTATGGTCATTTCTGATGAATAACTTGCCATCTCTTTCTTTCAGCCTTAACTCAGCCCCTACTCCAGCTTGTGGCAGTGCCAGCCACTTGAAATCCACACCGGTGGCCACACCATGCACTCCCCGGAGACTGAGCCTGGCTGAATCCTTCACTAACATCCGTGAGTCCACGACCACCATGAGCACATCCCTGGGGCTCGTGTGGCTGTTGAAGGAGCGGGGCATTTCTGCAGCCGTGTATGACCCCCAGAGCTGGGACAGGGCCGGTCGGGGCTCCCTCCTTCACTCCTACACTCCCAAGATGGCTGTGATCCCCTCCACCCCGCCGAACTCGCCTATGCAGACGCCCACGTCCTCTCCTCCTTCCTTTGAGTTCAAGTGCACGAGCCCTCCTTATGACAACTTCCTGGCTTCCAAGCCAGCCAGCTCCATCCTGAGGGAAGTGAGGGAAAAGAAGAATGTCCGCAGCAGTGAGAGCCAGACGGACGTGTCCGTCTCCAACCTCAACCTTGTGGACAAGGTCAGGAGGTTTGGAGTGGCCAAAGTGGTGAACTCAGGGCGAGCCCCTATCCCCACCTTGACTGAGGAGCAGGGACCTCTTCTCTGTGGGCCCCCGGGGCCAGCACAAGCCCTTGTCCCTGGAGGCCTGGTACCCGAGGGCCTGCCTCTTGGATGCCCCACTGTCACCAGTGCCATCGGAGGGTTGCAGCTCAACAGTGGCATCCGACGGAATCGTAGCTTCCCCACCATGGTGGGGTCTAGCATGCAGATGAAAGCTCCCGTGACTCTCACTTCGGGCATCTTGATGGGTGCTAAGCTCCCCAAACAAACTAGCTTACGGTGAGGTTGGGAGGGGGCCCGTCACCCTGGAGGAGACCAACGTTCTGCCATCTTGCTCTCCACCTCCCTCTCTTCTCCCTGCAGTGCACTCTCTTCCTCTTCCCTTCTCTGTCTATTCCCTCCTGAGCTAGACAAATCAACCTCGTGCCTAACGGAGGAAGAGTGGAAACTTTGTAAAATGTGTACATAGGACTTGAAGACCTTGTATCCGCCCTGTTCTTTTCATCGGATCCCACAGGATGTGCCCCTGCACTGTCACCACTCTCATGAGGACTTCACTTGTGCTAGCCTGGGGCAAGGTGGTGTCCTTTTCTTCTTTCCATTTGAGAAGCACTGAAACTCCCCAATGTGTTCTTATCCCATGGATAGGAAACCAGTGAATGCTGTGGCTGGCTGCCTGTGTTGCACACCACGAGCTGTCCCACAGCACGGGTCGTAACACATCTGGCTATCATCGGACACCTCGCCTCACCCACCCAGTAAGAGCGTCAGGAGCCTCTATCCTCAGCTACATGCGGCTGACGTAGCTTACATGATCGAAGAGCTTTTCTTTCTTTTATGGGTGGCCCAGCTTCTTCATCACAGACCTTCACTACTCTGCCTCAGTGGACGGTTTCTTTTCTGAGGCATGAGCTTTTCTTTTCATGCCTTCAACTTGAAGTCATCCTGTGTTTTGTAATCAGCTGTCAGGCCAAATGTCTGACCCGAAAGAGAATGTATTTACACTCCTGCTGCATTGCTCAGCAGCCCCTCCGTGTTCTGTGTGATTTGTTTTATTTTTCCATTTTTTTATATGCAGGGAAGTAATGGTTCTGGTAGTGTATGTTCTCTGTGTGGTTCTATGACACCGAAATATGAACTTACAACACGCCAAGCTGCAAATGAGACAGCAGCTTATTTCGGGGACCCAGTGTCACAACTAAATTAAGACCCAAGACAACTTTAGCAATAGGATGAAAAGGAAAGAGGATGGGGGAAAGGCTTATGTAAGAAATTTGCCAACAGTAAAAGCAAAGGGGAAGAACCACAGGCAAACGTAAGATCAAACTGACTCAAGGGAGAAAGGAGGCTTTGGCCTTCTGGGGCTCCTGTCCTTACTCTGAAACTTGAGGCTGGTCGCTGTGCTTTCCCTGTGCTGCCTTCTATTGCAGCCATTCAGTCTCCACACGTTTTGCCCTCTTGTTTCAGCACAATTAATGTCACAACAAAACAGTTTCTTCCCTCCAAAGTCCTCTGTCTCCTTGTGCCACTTTTTGTCCTTAGAAAAAAATAGAGGTGCTTGTGAAAAGAACCGTGAATGGGACAAGGGAGCCTGGTTCTGTTGCTGTCCCCGATTAAGTTTTTAAACTTATTTATTATTCATGTGTGCCGTATTTTAAACATACATCCTCTCTCCTTCCAGCTCCAGTCGTAGTGTGTCTGTGGCATTCCAATCCAAGCAGATTATTTATTTATCCTAATCTGAGGACTGCACTGTGCATCATAATGTCCTGTGACCACTTGCTCCAGGCATTTATGGAAGGGAAATATCCTATGTAAATGAAATTGTCATTTTGTGTCCCCTACCCCCCCAGCAGATGTGTCCTTCACTTGAGTGAGGGTAACTTTATGTCCACTGAGGATACTTTGAGAAAGTCCCCAGGGAGCAAGCTTCAGTCCCACGATTTCAGACAATTTATTCTCTGAACACAAGAGTGTTGGGTACTTATATTCTCAAATCTCCTTGCTGTTGTATGTGTGCACTCACTGCAAGTAACCTATCTTTTTATTTGAATGTATTTTCAAGCAGTAGGTAGAATAACAAAGGAATATGAAAACCAAGGACTGAATGGACCACTTTATGTATTCAGAGAGAGGAGCCACCCATCATTGCCAGAAATACCATGTAAAAATCAGCAATTTGGAGGTTGCAGTATTTAGTATAGTAAGTAAATAAATGATCAACATTGTGCAACCACTACCAAAAAGTGTGTTATGATGCATCAAAAATCAACAATAAAATGTTATTCGCTAATGAGTATCAATAAAATAAGTTCAGATGATGGAAACCACACTGGTATTCTGATTTGTACTTCATTTTCTATCTTTCATCAAGAAGATCATCTCTTTATGTAAGACTTGAAGAGTTTAGCTCTTTGGGAAAATTAAATGAAAGGTATATACTTTCCATATTTTTTTTTTTTTGAGTTGGAGTCTCACTCTGTAGCCTAGACTAGAGTGCAGTGGCTGCTCCCGGCCACCACAGCCTCGGCCTGCTGGGCTCCAGCGATCCTTCCGCCTCAGCCTTCCAAGTAGCTGGAACTACAGGCGCGCGCTACCACGTCCGGCTAATTTTTTGATTTATTGTAGAGAGGAGGTCTTGCTGCCCAGGCGGGTCTCGAACCCGCGGGCTCAGGCAATCCACTCACCTCAGCCTCCCAAAGGCACGGGATTACAGGCTGAGCCACCGAGCCCGGCTACTTTCCATATTTTTATATGCCCTCTTTATTTCAACATTATACCATACCTTAGACAACTTTCCACTCAGAACCTGAAGATGCCCCTCCCTTTTCAGAGCTATGTCCTATTCCACTGTACACACATACCTATTGTAAATACATATATACCCGTATGAACCAATCCCCTACGGAGGGTCATGGTGTTCATTTGAATCTTTTGCTGTCACAGTGCTATAATGAGAAAACGTTGCATGTATGTGATTTTCCACATGTGAGCACCTCTGTGGGATAAATTCCTAGACTATTGTTGCCAAAGTGCCTTCCATAGAGTTGTGTTAAGAGACTTAAAGACCATTCACCAGCTGGGGGACTGGAAGAAGAACGAAAAAATAGAATAAAACCTATTCTGCCACCTCAGTATTTGAAAGCAATGAAAATGTTGCAGTCTCACCAGGGCTCTGCTACCAGCCTGAGACCCACGTGGCGACCGAGGACATTATGGCGCTAAGCATGTGATGGCCCCCGAGAACTCAGAGATGCCAAACAGCTGCAGAACCCCAAGGGGTATTACAGCTCTCAGCTCTTGCTTGGAGAATCCCAAGTCCTCAGGGAAGGTTACAGCTTTCTCAACTTCATGACCATGGCGGGGGCAGGGGGTGTAAGCAAGGTGACATTTATTCAGGAAAGCAAGTGTTGCAGCTCTTACAGTGAGAGGGGACCCAAGTGGGTGGCCTAGGAAAGGTCACTGAGACTAGGAGTTTATAGGACTCAGAAGCATGCTAATTGGTTGGCAGTAGGGACTGAAAATACACTAGCCTAATTCGTTAGCAGTGAGTACTAATAAGTAGCATGACAAGGCTGATGGGAAGAAGAGTGAAAAAGGGCCAGTTAGGAAAAGGTGCATGAAAAAGGGAGAAAGCCAGCAGAAAAAGGAATGGGTGTGGCTTTTGTCCAGAGCTTGCAGCTTGCAGCTGTTTCTTCAGGTAAAAATGGAGTCTTACCAGAGACCTGCCCTAATTGTCTGCCTAACTGGTTTTCTTCCTTACTCCTCTCTCAAAGTCATGCAAACAAACACCCATGGGATGTGGCATCATGGATTTTAAATCAGTGGCTACCATTTGGTCATCCTGTGACCGTAGGTCCTCCATTTTTTTAACCTGTTAAATGGGAACAGTTATACACCTTAGAGTTAATGCGTTGAGTCAATGTATTTGGAGCACCTAGCACGTGCCAGTCATTGTTGTGGGTACTGGGGAGACAGGGAGGAACAAGTGAGCCAGTTTCTACACCCGTGGAGTGTACAATCTGTTGAAAGGAGAACAATGACAACAAGCATAGAAATATAAGGGCTGTGCAGAGAACCAAAATAGGGTGGTGTGAGGAAGTGGGTGTCTGCTCTGGATTATGCAGTCAGAGGAAGTCTCTCCAGGGAGGGAGCATTTGAGTCAACCTTGTGAGATCTGATACAGGGGCATTTGGGCAGAGATAGCAGCTGTGTAAAGGCCTGGAGGTAGAAAATTACGTTGGTGTGCATGAGGAACAGAGAAGGCTGGCATGGCTGCATGCTGGTAGAATAAGGGGAGCTTGGTGGTGGCAGAAACTCACCAGATGGTCTGTTTGGTCCCCATGTTTTCCCACCACTGCTGTTGGGCGGGTTACATGGTTAGTTCTGGCCAGTGTGCTGTGAGCAGAGAAGGTCACATGGTTAGTTCTGGCCAGTGTGCTGTGAGCACAGAAAAATTCGTGCATGATTCTCTGCACTCCTCTCTTCCTGAAGCCACATTGAAGTGATGGGGTCTCCATCGTCCTGGGTCTCCTCGTGTGTGGACCAGAGCCTCCTGCCAGCCTGTATCTGACAGGTAATCAGAAAGAGAAGTAAACTTTTGCTGTTAGGCCAGTAAGATTTTGGGGTGGTGCATTAGAATCCCTGGGGGTAGTACCCAGGAAGCTGTGTTTAACAAGCCCTTCAGGTGATTCTGGTGCACACAAAATTTGAGAGCCACTGCACTAACCAGGTGGAGTTTGGGTGAGAGTTCTGCCATAGGAGGGATTCCCCTTCTCAGCCTATCCTTGTCTCAGGGGCTCTGAGAAGCTCAAGACTGCTGCAGACCATCTTGTGTGAGGGGGAAAGAGAAAGAATGGACAGGGTTTTTTTTTTTGAGTTGGAGTCTCACTCTGTCGCCCAGGCTGGAGTGCAGTGGCTGCTCCCAGCCACTGCAGCCCTGACCTGCTGGGCTCCGGCGATCTTTCCACCTCAGCCTTCCAAGTAGCTGGAACTACAGGCATGCGCTACCACGCCTGACTGATTTTTTTATTTATTGTAGAGACGTGATCTTGCCAAGTTGCCCAGGCGGGTCTCGAACCCTCGGGCTCAGGCAATCCACTCCCCTCAGCCTCCCAAAGTGCGGATTACAGGCTGAGCCACCGAGCCTGGCGAGAATGGACAGGTTTATCTGCCCAGCAGGGGCAGGGAAGGCTTTGAGGCAAGGTGACCCTGGATCTGGGCTTCGAGAACAGGCAGGATTTGCCAGGTGGGGAAGGCATTCCAAGCAGAGGGTAAAAGTATGGAGGAAGGATGGAAAAGGGGTTCTAGACTTCATTCCTCTAAGCTGTTCCTTACAGTTAAATGACAAGTGACAAAGAAGGGATGATGGAATTAGAAAAACCACCATTTTGCGACCATGGTAATAATAGCTAATTCAGATAACAATATAGGCCAAAACCATTGATTAAGAATTTGTTAGGTAGCAGAATATTTACACACATTGTATCTTCCCACAGAATACTCATTAATTTGCAAAGGGGGAAAATATCTTTGCAATGGAGGACTCTATGGCACGTCACTTTAAACAAGTCAAGAAATTTAACATTACCCAAAATGGAACACCCTGATACCAGCCACCTCCTGATATGTTATATATTGGGAAGGACACACATCACTTCTGTGCTGTTCTGCCACAGATGCAAAACCTGAATCATGAGGTTGGTGAATTGAAGGACACTTCATAAAACAATGTACCTAACCCTTTGAAAAATGTCAATGTCGTGAGGAACTGTTTTATATTAAAGGAGAGTAAAAAAGGACAACAATGTGATGCCAGGTGGGGTGCGATGCAAACCCGTGGATTCTTTGGCTCGTTTCTAAAATGAATTTTAGAGCGGCCAGCAAAGTTTTCAAAGTTTATTAATGAGAAGAAGGAAGATTCATGACAGAAAGACCTGCCATGGGCAAGTTTTTCAAAAAAGAAAAATCGCACTTTTGCTCTCAACTCCATACTAGATATAGCTACCTAGTTGTTGATATGCTAATGAATAGCTCCAGAGAGATCAACACCCTTGGCTTCTGGTGGGAGGAGCTGAGGGGAGGGGTCTTTTCCTGACCACATTGTCTCCTGCAGGAGATCTGCCAAACATTTCCAATTCACATATAATTATTTCCATGACTTGGGTCAGTTAAGGCCTTCTGCCTTTGACAGGGAACCTGAAAGGTTCTTAGTGATTATTATGCTAAACCATGCATTGAGAGTTTGATGGAGTTTTCTTTTGATTTACTGATGGGGTAGGGAAGGCTGCCAGCTTGGCCTGCAGTAAAATGTAATTTTTAAAATGTCTGAACGCTCTCTAAACCTACCTATGGAAAATTTATCTGTGTCTAACCTGTGCTAGCTACCCTGCCTTACAATGCATTTCAGGATCTGAATTGGATACCGGACTGGAGAAGATGCTATAAAAGACAATGTTGGGACAATCAAATTTGCATTAAAAAGTTTTAAAAATTGTATCATATGAAATTTCCTGAATTCAGTAACTGTACTGTGAATATATAAAAGCGTATCCTATTTCCTAGGAGATATATGCTAAAGGATTAACATCAAGGGACTTGATTTCTGCAAGTTGCTTTCAAAGGTTTTTGGAAAAAGAATGACTTGTTTTTTGTTTTTGTTTTGTTTTGAGTTGGAGTCTCACTCTGTCGCCCAGGCTGGAGTGCAGTGGCACACTCATGGCCACCCTTCCGCCTCAACCTTCCAAGTAGCCAGAGCTCCAGGTGCACGCTACCATGCCCAGTTAATTTTTTTTATTTATTGTAGAGACGACGTCTTGCCAAGTTGCCTGGGCTGGTCTCGAACCCGCAGGTTCAGGCAATCCACTCGCCTCAGCCTCCCAAAGTACTGGGATTACAGGCTAAGCCACTGAGCCCCGGCTGATTTTTTTTTTTTAAAGATGCATAAAAAAAGAGTTCATCTCAAAAAGTGGAAAGTCCCCTACTGATATATGCTTTGTAAACTTAAAGTACATTTTTCTGTCTCCTGAGTGTGGCAGGAGAATGAAGTGATATAGTGCGTCTTCCTGGTTCTATGCTGAATTTCCTCATGTGTATCCCAAGTCCCCCTCAATCCCTCCCCACAGCCCAGGGTGTTCAACCAGAGGATGCCATGACCTGAAGGGGAAGTTGCCAATGAGGCAGTTGATGAGACCAGAAAACTATGATGTGAGATTCTTGGTTTTCAATTATGAGGAAAGACAAAGCTGAGTTATAAGACCAAAAGATTTGGACTGAACATGCTGAGCCAATGTCTCTTTTTACTGTTTACTCCTCCTCTGCCCCTCCCACTTG